GTGAGATAGTGGCCTGTGCATGCCCTCAGCTGCAGAGACCAGGCAGATGGAGCCTTTTCTGTGGATGTTTCCTTCTCTCTGCTGTTTATCCATAAAAATGGTTGTGTTCAGGTGTTCTAAACTGGGCTGAATCTGCAGATTCCCCAAACTCACTCAGCATTATCAGAACCTTCCAAGGGCCTGATAGCTAAATAGGGTCCATTGCCAGCCCTTCTGTCATTACACCTCTGTCTGGTGATGACCCTCTCACCATCAGAGTGGCAACAACACTTGCTGCAGCTTCCTGCCACCACCAGTTAGGTAAATCACCCTCCTGCCCCACAGATGAGTGTTACCCTTTTGTCCTTTGTGGGGGGTGATGCATTTCCTTTTATTTGGGGATTTGTCATTGCCACCCTGCTCTACAGCAAAGCAATCTCCTTGTCAAGAAGGTTTCTCTGTCAACAATGGCTACTGAAATTTCAAGAAGCAAAATTCCAGTTGACTTGAAGGAATGCCTTTTTCTATATACGCCCACTCAACCACTTCCATCTGCAGAACTGGCACTCCTAATTAACCTTCAGTGTGGCAAGACCTGTACTCTGGAACGCCCTGCTCATTGATGTAAGACAGATGCCTTTGGTGTACAGTGGTACCTCGGATTAAGAACTTAATTCGTTCCAGAGGTCCGTTCTTAACCTGAAACGGTTCTTAACCTGAAGCGTGCTTTCGCTAATGGGGCCTACTGCCGCCGCTCCACCACTGGTGCACAATTTCCATTCTTATCCTAGGGCAAAGTTCTTAACCTGGAGCAACCATTTCCTGGTTAGCAGAGTTTGTAACCTGAAGTGTCTGTAACCCGAAGCGTCTGTAACCTGAGGTATCACTGTATTGTATTTGACATCTGTTAAAACCTTTTTAAAGCCTACCCAGACGTGTAAATCTGATACCTATTTTAATATGTAATTTTATTTTACAATTTATATATTTTTTAAGAAAAACTGTTTACACACACATACACAAACAAATATGTATTATAAAAAATGTTTTAATTTATATTTTATGTAAGCCACTTAAGAGGTTTTGATGACTGAGCAGTTGTTAGAAAGGGAGATAGATCCACTTAAACAAACCTGTTTCATTCCATTATTCTACTTTGAGGTACAAAACCCACATGAGTTTCAGCCTACATATATCTGACATGGTGGCAGCACATCATTATTTGCTTTCTGTGGGAGGGTTTGTGGGTAGACTGAGCACATTAAAGAAGAAAACATTTTCACATAATGACCAATCTCGAAAAGTAACTATTTACCTGTATCCAGTTTCCTAACAGCTCAAGTCCTTTGCCGCTTTAACTTTGAAGCCGAAGTTCAAACCAAGTTGGGAATCACAATGAGTAATTATACACTTTCTGGCTGCTATGGGACTTCCTCGCCCCCCCCCCAGCTTATGTTTGATCAGAGAAAAAGGCAAAACACACACACCCTGCCCCCCCCCCCGCCTTGAAGTATGCTAACACCATTTATCTGGTTGTATTCAGGGAAGTAGCAACATGGGGTCCTATTGTGTAGCACAGGATCCTGGTTGGGGAAGGGACATAGTTCAGTGTTCAATCAGTTGCTTTGTATGCAGAAGTCCTCTGGTTTAGTCACTGGACATCTCCAATTGAATGGTCAGGTAGCAAGTGATAGGAAAGACCCCTCTGCTGGAAACATGGAAGTTCTACTGACAGAAGTGTCATGGCAAATTCAGATATGTGGGGTCCCTTCTTGATAGTTATAGCTCTGCCCTCTCGCAGCATTCAAAGATTATATAGCCAGCTAAGAATGTACAATAATCATATAGATGCACAATGATAATAACTAGGATGCATTGCAATAATCAGTGAAAATCTCCATGTTTTGCCTTTCAGCTAGATCTACTTCTGTACACATTCATAGGCAAGTGATTTGGAATGCTCCAATGTCTTCTTTTGGAATGATGTAAGTTGTGTTTTCCTTGAAGTACATAGCAGAACTTGCGCACCATTCTCTTGAAACTGACTACCTTGTGTTCTCAGTGTTTCTAGATGGAGTGCTGTATATAGAACTCCTCCTCAGTGTTTTTCCCTGCACACCTCCAGAGTGACTCTAGGGGCCAATCCCCAGTGGCTCACACACCTCCTTTAACTCTAATTGGCTCCAATCAACACAAAGGGTGAGAAGACTTCTCAGTGGCTAAAATCTGATAACGCCTCTTTCATTTCCCCTCTTAATCTCCCCTCTTACAGCACTGTGAAATATAACTGAAATGGACAACATAGCTTTCCAGATTTTCTTTTCAGGAGGGTGGAATATAAATACTTTTATAAATCAACAAAGGTTTGTAGTAAAATTAAATAAAACATACTGTAAAGGTAAGGTAATCACATTAACATTGTCCATTTTGCTTTTTCAAGCAGCAAAATGAAATTATCCTGGGCACAGTCTCTATTAACAGGGGGGGGGCGGTATACACGAGCTCACACAGATGATCTTTCTTGCAAATTTTACATGGCTATTTCAGTTTGCCATAGCCCTTCCCACATATTCTACTCCACGAGAATCCATGCTGAAAGCAATCTCACGGTAGATAAGTGTAAATTCTACCCAGGTCACAGTCCTAGTTTAATGTAAAACTGTATCATACAACATGCCTAGCCTGGGCTTTAAAACAGGCCAAAGGTCCCTTTTGTTTCTATATATTACCTCATCAGAACTTCATTTTGTATCTCAGCTTGCTTGCACCTTCTCCCCCTGATTAACAAAAAGCAGGAGCCACTTTGTAAACAGAATCAGAATTAAAAGATCCTTGTCATATGTTTTTCATTTCCTTTGAGAGGAGGATGTTGAAATGGAGCCAGTTTTTCAAGGCGGTGGTAGCTTTCAAAGTTGAAAGACTGGAGTAACAAGAACGAGGCACGAATGAGACTGCACCAAAGTATATTAGAATAAAACAATCCACAAGATTTAAACTACAAGCACAGCCAGTGGAATAAGAAGTGCCGAGAGTTAACCTACAGCAAAGGTGGAAACAGGATCAGGAGTTCGCTATATTCGAAAAGGTTTGACTTTGTCTGGATTTTAAAACATCCGAAATCCAGGACATGCACTGGCAAGAAATAAAAGGAAGGCAAAAGGAGAAAAGTTAACTCAATCATCTGAAGAAAGCAGAGAAGTCTGTAGTTCTGTGACCCGCCAAAGGACTTGAGAAGACAGCATGGGTAACTACATGATAAAGCAAAGTTATCTCTAGAAACTTTAGAAGGGATGTGCTAAGATAGACATAGCCAACATGGTGAACTTTAGACATTGTCTAAAGACTACCATCAGGATTTGGAGTCTAGCAGTATCTGGAGAGTACCACATTGACTATTCTCATGTTAAGAGAAAACGAAAACTCATGGTACTAATATACAGTGGAGTGTTAGACCTGTGGGCAGAGTTTCTTTCCATCCATAAAAGCCCCTCTTTGTCTGAAGTCTATCTTAGGGTGATCGGGTGAAAAAGCAGGCTGGCAAATTCAGGTTGTGCAATTAAAGTAGCCTTGATGCTCAAGTGCAACAGACCCACTTCCAGGAGATAAATAAATATTGAAAGGAAGGGGGTGGGGAAATTAACTGGAAAGTTTGGTATAATGACTGCTTGGCATTTGTATAACCTCCCTGTAAACAATTTGGAATGAATGTTCACTGCCAGGTAATTTGGATCCACCTTAGTGGTTGTGTACTACTAACTTTAGAAGGGGTGATTCCAGCAGGTGTGTCTTTGGATGACAAGTCACACTTCCTGAAAATCCCTCATTGATATACTGGTAGCTACTCTAAGCTCTTTTTCGCCTGACCACTCCTAGTGTATATGGGAATTGCAGATGAAGTAATTTTGATTAAGATTTGCTAGGATTCCAGCTGTGTTTACAAGAGAAGAATAAGCTGTCTTGCAAAGCAAGTCAGAAACCTCATCCAAATGAAAGAGAGGCATGTAGTAAGAGCAAACAAGTCAGGGCCAAGTCATACTAAAGCCAAAAATGCCTACAGCAGAACCGGCCCACCCATGAGGCAAGATGAGACAACTGCCTCTGGTGGCAGGATACACTGGGGCAGCAGATCATCATCATCAGGTGCCGCAGTGTCAGGGATGGCTGCGACATGCTCCTTGGAGGCCAGATCTGTTGCCGTCTCAGCAGGCACCACCACCCATGCCACCGCTACAGCGACCTCTTGGCAAATAGGTGCCATTGGTGGTCTCCCAGCCCCAGGGAAGGAATAGTGGGTCTGCCCTCCGGGGTTTCCTGGGCTCTGCATCAACCTGGCATGATTCAGAGCAGCCCCATTCTCCCCACAAAACCTGCCATGGCAGACTTTGACTTCCATTTCAACCATAGGGTAAGGTTGATTTTATTCTCTTCCCCCTTGTTCCTGGTGTAGATCTTCACTCACCCCTTTTTCCCTGGCAGGGGGAACATTTTGTCGTTCACCTCAAATGCCAAAATGTCTTGGGCCAGCGCTGGTCCACAGTCCCTTGTTCTTATTTTGTGGGCAGGTGTAAAGACGCTGACCAGCCTTGCTTTTGCTGTTGGGTTCTCGCTATTTGAATGGTTTTAATGCATAACTTTAAGCTGACAGTAATTCACAGAACAAGCCATCAGCCAGAACCTCTTGCAATTCTTCCTTCTGCTATTCATGAGCAAATCTGTCAATTACAGTTTCTCTGTTTCTAATTTTTCCATTCTTAAATTTAGTTATACACATTTCTACATTTCCAGTTTGTGAATATATAATTTGAAGGACCTTGTGAAATTTCACCAACATTTTCGTGTTAATTCTACTAATATACATGTATTATTATGCCTAATATACACACTTCGCAAAGCACTTTCCCCTAATAGAAATCATTTTTGCATGCTATTTTCATTAATATAAGCATTTTATGCACACTTTGCTTCAGTACTGTATATGCATTTCTGTAGACATTACTTGGCTGGAGAACTGCATTGCAAATTTCACAAAAGTGTATTTTTAAGGATGGCTGTGTTTGGTTTGCGTATTGTTTCGGAAAGTGTGAATTAAATAGGTTCACCATTAAATTAGAACTGAATTTCTCTACATATGATGATACACTATTTTAAAAAAAACCTAGAGAGGGTTCTAAGCAGTAATATAAAGATAATATTTTTTGGGCTGGTAAAAAAAATGCCAATCATTTGATCCTCATTAAGTGTGCATCTACTTAGAATTGCTATTGTTGTTAATGACTTTCTAAACTTGCATGATCATTGAAGGTGGAGGGGGCAATGTAGTCACTTTACTGATATTTGCCACGAAACAAGGTTTGCCTTATCCAAATGCTACCTGGATTCACCTGCTTCTGTATAGACACAGGCTGAGTTTTCTCCCCCTACATCATTTTGCGTCTTGCCTGGTGCTTTGTTTTGCAGTAAAAGAGCAAGCTTTCTTCTTTATTTCCCTATGCTAAGGATGTAAAGAAGGACTTCGACATAGTTATGTATTTATTTCCAACAAGCAAGTTAAAACCACTGTAATAAATACCTGGAGAAACTACACTAGAGCCTTGACAATTTCAGAAAAAAGTCAAGCTGGTTAATAAGTAAGAGGCATTTTTACACAGGATTCTCATAAGGTTTTGAGCAGATGTGCCTGTGGATCTCAAAGAACAGCTGCAAGCTTTTGAAAGGTATTGTATTGAATACAAATGCAGAAGGACAGAATCATTTGTACTACCTTAGGGCTGTGTTTTTTGTGTCTTTTCAACCTTGACCATTGATTCAGGCTCCATCTGAGTAATAGTAAATAAACAGCTTTGCTGAAAGGGTTGCATAGAAGGTTTTCCAGCCTAAAGGGGAGAGGAAGGCTGAAGTTCAGACTGTGCATGAGGGCAGTACATAAGTAATTGACTCTATCAGTATATACAGTGTTTAATGTTTGTCTTGCATTTTGCTGGAGTTTTACAAAGAGGCTTTCTGGTACAGTCAGCCCAGGGCACGTATATGTAAAATCAGTGCTATTTTTCTAGAAGAAGTGCTGGAACTCACCATGAACGCATCCCTTGTTCTCTTATAATGGCAATGGCGCCCATCTGAGAGGTGCTGGAACTGAGTTCTGGTGAGTTCCAGCTGAAAAAAAGCCATGCATAAAATATAAAAATATGGCTGTGGGTGTTGACAAGCCCATGAATAGGAACGTGACCAGGGCTTACCGTATTTTTTGCCCCATAGGGTGCACTGGCTCATAGGGCGCACCAAGTGTTTTTTTTTTTTGGGGGGGGGAAATAAAGAAAAAAAATTCTTTATTTGCCCGAAGCCTGGGGTGTGCAGCGCTGCGCTCCCCGAGCTTCGGGCAGCAGGCTGCTGTGTGCAAGCCTTGGGAGCCCTGCGGGAACTCCCGCGGGGCTCCCAAGGCCTGCGGAAAGCTGCCCGAAGCCCGGGGTGTGCAGCGCTGTGCTGCCCGGGCTTCGGGCAGCAGGCTGCTATCCGCAAGCCTAGGGAGCCCTGCGGGAACTCCCGCGAGCTCCCCAGGCTTGCAGATAGCTTCCTGAAGCCTGGAGAGCGAGAGGGGTTGGTGCGCACCGACCCCTCTCGCTCTCCAGGCTTCAGCGAAAGCCTGCATTCACCCCAAAGGATGCACACACATTTCCCCTTCATTTTTGGAGGGGAAAAGTGCGTCCTATAGGGCCAAAAATACAGTAACTCTTGGCATAGCTGTTGCACACTTTAAGACTTAATAAAAAACACCACACATGCTTAGAGCATCAGACTGGGGCCTGAAGGACCAAGGTTTAAATCAGCTATGAAGCTCACTGGCGTGGCCTTAGGCTAGTCCCTGTCTCTCAGCCTAACCTACCTCACCGGGTTGTTGTGAGGATAAAATGGAGTGGGGAGAAACACCACTATGAGCTCTTTGGAGGAAAAAGTGGGATATAAATTGAATAAATAAATATTGACTTGCTTTGTATTTGGGAGTAACCTGCCTCATTGCCTGGGGTTGGGTGGGTGGCTTCCTAATTTGACTGCGAAATCAAACCAGGGAGTGTCCAGCCATTTCCACTGTGCCATTTTCTTAATGAAATGCCAACTTGCAGGGGTAACCATACCATTAGTCAAAATGAGGCAGGTGCCTCAGGTGGCAAATGCTGGAAGCTGTCGCAAGGTGTTGGGGGGCAGAGAGCTATGTGCCCCTAAGCCTGCTGCCCTCAGATGTATTACAAGTGAAAGCAACAGTCCTTCTACAAAATGGCTCATTGTGCATTTTTCAATAAGAGTCTTCTTTCCAATTGAGAGCCTCTCCCTTCCATCTCTTGCTGCATTGTATTTTAGCTGGGAAAACGACAGATTGTTGGAGGAAAATGCAAAGCAGTGAATGGATTTTTCCCCACCTTGATCCTTTGCATATATGGCTTCTTCTCCTTGATGAGACCATCTGAGGCTTTCTTGACTCCTTATCTTGCTGGGCCTGATAAAAACCTGACTATTGATGAGGTACAGTGATGCACATTTTATTCACACTAAGGTATTCAGTCATATGTCGGGAATGAATTGCAAATGGGGAAGGAATTCGTTTAACCTTATAAGCAAAAGGTAACTTATAATTTTCTACGGAGAAACCGTTACCTTCATCTCACTTTTTATAAATGTAAGTTTAGATACATGTATTTCGTTATGTTTTATATTTCAGGGTCTGTGGAACTCCTTGCCACAATAATTCAGAGTTCCTCCATGTTACCATGTTATGCTGCCACCTGTTAGAATTCCATTAGTGCTTAATGTTTGCCATCTCTTACACCTCCTGAAGAGACCAATACCTGTTGGACATACTTCCTCCCACAATACATTTCTTTTTTACTTCTGAACATAATTTCAAGGCTTTCATCCTGATTTTTATTTTTATTTTGTTTTGGTAACAAAGCAACCTGGTCGCACACACAGGCCCACAGTCAACTCACAGCAAGCAAGTTTTGTCCCACTCCTTTCCAGGGCATTACTTTCTGTGGCTGGCATTATTAAAGCTCCAAGAGAGCAAGGTGTATTATCCTTGCAAGTAAAAGAATGACTGAAAATGCCCTGTGTGGAAAAAAGAAATGACAGCAATGAAGCATCAGGCACCATGTGTGAAAAGATCAGCTGGAATGCCAGTTTGGAATTAACCAAAGCAAGTTGATGCCCATGTGTTGTGCCTAAAGAAAGGCCAGGCTGTGAATGAGATGGTGAGCTAGCCACTAGCTGCTAGCAAACCATGAATGGGAGAGAAAAGGGGACTGAGGAGACAGAGGAGCTGTTAGAGGAGAAAACAGGCCTCGGCTACCAAAGTTCGCCTAGGGTCTCCACCGTAAAATTATATTGTACAGAAACCTTGTAGTTTCAATAAGTGCTTCTATATTTTTCATGCCTTATATTTCTTAGACTTTCAATGTTACAAAATTCCTCCTTTTCCCTTCCAGGTGACGCAGCACGTTTTCCCTGTTTGGACATACTCCTACTTGGCTCTACTAATCCCAGTATTCCTGATCACAGACTATGTACGCTATAAGCCTGTCATTATCCTCCAGGGAGTTAGTTTCCTGATCACCTGGCTGCTGCTTTTATTTGCATATGGTGTGCCTGCCATGCAGCTGGTGGAATTTTTCTATGGCATGGTGACTGCCACAGAGGTTGCCTATTATGCCTACATATACAGTGTTGTCAGTCCTGACCATTACCAAAAAGTCACTGGCTATTGCAGAAGCATCACTCTCGTGGCATCCACCATAGGTTCCTTGCTGGGCCAGCTTCTAGTCTCTCTGGCCCATGTCTCTTATTTTTACCTCAATGCCATAACCATGGCCTCTGTCTCTGTGGCCTTTATGTCTTCATTTTTTCTACCCATGCCTCAAAAAAGTATGTTCTTTCATAGAACGTCTTCCCCAGAAGCACCCATCGGACCAACAGATAAGGATCCACCAAATGTCTCAGGCCAGCCAAGCCACCAATGGGATCCGTGTGTTCCAACAACATCATCCGCCAACTTCCAGAATGTGCCAGTAGATCAACTGCCCAAAATAAAAGACCAGAATCGCTTTCTGACCGTGCTTCTCCAGCTCTGTAAAGACTTGAAGGAATGCTATACCACAAAGAAACTCCTTTACTGGTCAATATGGTGGGCATTAGCCACTGCAGGATTTAACCAGGTTTTGAATTACGTCCAAGTACTGTGGGATGCTAAAGCACCTTCCCATAGCTCTCAAGTGTACAATGGAGCTGTTGAAGCCATAGCAACATTCCTGAGTAAGTATCCCTCTTAAAATATATCCTGTATGCAAACAACCATGTAAATGCACTTAATTCCCCCATTCCCACGCAGCATAGGAAGGTGAGCAAGATAACCAGGTATGAGAAACCATAAAACATTTTCCAGAATCTCACATGCCATCTAGGTGTGGTGTGCATAATGTTTTGGGGCACGCAAGTGGCTCCATTTATTTCAGTGGAGGTAATTTTCACATGCAGCAGTGAAAATGAACAGATATCTGGGGAGGGGAGCTCTTTGTGTACATCAGAGATTCCATAGTCATAAGAAATAGATAAATTGGAGGGAACAAATTATTTCTGCAGTGAGTTTGGTCCACAGCTCACAACTTGTGCCTATCTAGAAATGTGATGAAGTGTCTGATCACATAGATTTGTTTATTTAGGTACTGCTATTGTATTTGCTTTCTGTACAAATATGCAAATAGATGACTTGCGGCTTATACAGCGGTTATGCTCTGGAAATACCATATTGGCCTGAAAATAAGCCACACTCCCCCCCCCCCCAAATTCCGATTGTTAAAAGTTAAAGTGCGGCTTATATTCACGACCTTCTACAGCCGGCGAAGCGGTGCAGCTCCCCCCCCCCCAACCGAAAGCGTGGGGCAATGGTGCCCATCTCGTCCGTGGCTCCCAAGCCTCCAAATTTTAAAGGTACGACTTATTTTCGGGCCAAAATCATGTATAGTCAAAACAACCCTTTGTAAACTATAACCTTACTGCACTCTCCCAAGGCCACTACAGACTCTCCTTGCCCCTGAGCGCTGTCCCGCATGAGTGCAATGGGGTGGAATTGTCAATGGTTTCCCCCCACTCTTCCGTCCACTTCCAGCGTTTTTCCTGCTCTAGTTTGTCCCATAATCTTTAGGACTTGTTGCAGAACAATGTAAGCTACTCTTCTGTAATTGTTTATTAAATCTTATTCAGTTGAAGTATTTTCGCTCCCCTTTAAGAGAAATGCTTTAGGCATCTTACAGTATTATTTTGTATCTACATTTTGAGGGAAATAGGTTATTTTAAAACCATTTTAGCAAGAACCTGCAGAACGGGGGTGGCTAACCTGTTACTCTGGAAATGCTGATGGATGCCAGTTCCAGCCATCCCTGATCATTGGCCATCTAGAAAGCCAAATGTTAGCCACCCTTGCTGCAAGTGCATAGTAGTCTAAAACTTATCTCCTTATCCAGGTTCAGTAACATCACTGGCTGTGGGATATGTGAAAATGAACTGGGACCTTACAGGGGAGATGGCGCTGGGAATCTTCTCTGCCCTGGATGCAGGTTCCCTGCTTCTGATGCATTTTACCAGCAACATCTGGGTTTGCTATGCTAGCTATCTAGTTTTCAAGGCATGTTATATGCTCCTTATAACCATAGCAACGTAAGTATATATAGGTATATTATACTAGGCCAATTTGTTATTGTTTGGGCCCTTTATTACAGGAAGGTTAGATAAAGCCAGTGAAAGTAAGAAACATTGGGGAAAGGGAAAATGGGGGGAGAGGTTCAGGGGCATACCCTGTGAGACATAAAAACTATTGAGAGGGAAGGGCAGAACTCTCTCTTCAAATATCAGAATGGCTGTCATATAGGACTAAGACCAGTTCTCTGCTGCAACAGTTTAAGTGTAAGAGTGTAAGAGCCGTTTGACAATTGCTATTCCAGCCACACATCAGTGTTGCCAAATATACACCTGCATACCCTCCATAGGCCTGTAGTTGATACAGTTCAAACCTGCTGTGAATAAAATAAACAGAGCTCATGTTCAGACTAGTACTTATGCACAGGTTTAAGGCAAACGTGGGATGTGATCTCTTATAATAATGAAACTTTTGCAGGCCTCTTCTTGCTCCTTCGGTACTCCCCACATTTCCTGAAATCCTATGGTAATCATAGAGTTGGAAGGGACCCACAGGGTCATCTAGTCCAACCCCCTGAAATAAGCTATGTGCATGGCTGAGGTTTCCTCATCCTGATTGTCTGCATCCATTTCACACAAGTGTGTGCACATTTTGCCAGGTCTGAAAAAACAAGTCATCTACACTTAGATATCATGGTGATATCAACATTCTAAAATAAGCTCAATTTTAGTTTTCAGATTGCCATCAGTCTCAGCATGGAACGCTATGCCTTAATGTTTGGATTCAACAACTTTGTTGCACTGCTAATTCAAACTATTGTGACTGTCACAGTGGTGGATTCCAAAGGACTGGGACTGGATATTGGGACTCAGGTAAGTTGTAATGTTAATGCTGTATTGTGGGCACTATTGCTAATTCAGTAACATTTGCATGCTTCACATATTTGCAAGAGGCGGCGCTCAAATCAAGAGGCTTTTTGTTTTGTTTATAAACGTCTGTTTATAGATATGTAAGCACATGTTATTTATATAATGTATTTCTACCACATCCTTTAGGGGAGGTATATGGGACCTTTTTGTCTTCGCAGGTTGGATCCTTTTCAGGATCTACTTTGTAAGCCAAATTTGACAGGTAGGCGGGGTTGCCTACCTATCAACTGCATAATTCAATAAATGATGTGATGTGATTTGGTGCTTTGAATAACGTAAGATTCCACAGGAGTGTCAATTTCTAGTTTGGATTCCTTAGCATCATCATCATTATTAATATACTACTCTTCATCCGAAGATCACAGGGTGATTTACAGTATAAATCATCTAAACTTTAAAAATAGTTAGGTTACAATCATTTTTCTCTGTAAGCCCCAATAAATACAGCAAAACTTTCTTGATAATGCATAGGATTGCACTATTAGTGAAATATACAAAACGTATTTGGGAATTTTACAAGTTAGCCAGGAGTAACTCTCCACAATTCACCAGAATTTTAACATTAATTGCCAAATTTTCACATCTCCTTGCTTGCAGTCTTTGGCTCATTTGTTAATACTGACTTTTTAGTCTTGTTCAAAGTTGCTCAACCAATCACTAAAACAAGTGCCCCACCCAAACAAGTAACTGCTAACAAGCACTTTTTTCTGTGGTCCATGAATTTCGAGAATTGACTGAGCAGGTTATGAAGTTCAGATCAGCCCAGAATTTACGCTCAGGGTGGAATGAGCATGCTTGATGTCTGGCCTAGATTAACATTCTACTACCCCACCACCCAGATCTCCAATGAATAATCCGTCTAAACTGGCAAAAGCATATTTTAAAAAAATATTCTTGTTCATTATCTCACCGCACACAGCAATTCCAGTGTGTTGCCTTGACATCAGTGTGCATACACACAATACTGGCTGTCCTCCAATTCCCCAGTGACTTGATATTCTGTATCCCTGGCTGGGTTGGCATCAGCACCTGGTACCCTTGGGCACCTGCCAGGACTTGCTGCCAATGTCTGCACTAGGCCTTGTTTAATTTTCTTTCTGGACCAGCACACCAAACAGTGGCAGGTGGCTGGATCTTGTCACCATTTTAATTTCCCCCAATGCCCTCAAACTAGCATCACTCTGACAAATTGTGGGATTTGCCTTGAAGTAACTGACAGCAAAGCAGAGGTGAATTTTGTTCATCAGTATTTAGCATTTGGATGGGTTTCAAAAAGATAAGAGATAGGTTCGTGGAGGATGTCCTACCTCCTCTGACAGAAGCAGAATGTCTCTGAATACCAGTTGCTGGAAACTGCAGGAGGGGAAAATACTACTGTGCTCAGGTCCCTGTGTTTCCCATAAGCATCTGCTGTTGCAACATATGGTCACTTGATATGCATTTTCACAATTATGGTGTAGCGACAAAGAGATGGATCATTAGTCATCTTCCAGTTCTGAGGAAGTACATTCATGATAGAACGGGATGGAGAGGAGAGGAATCAACTTCCCTAATACTGGGGTGAAGTTGAGGACATCACATGCTTATTTGCCTACTTCAGCAAAATATAATACTTTTTAAAAATGCATTACACTCTTTTCATACTGTATCAGTGGATTTTAAGTTTCAGTCTTCAAAATATCGATTTCAGTGCTTTGGCTTTCATATAATTGCAAGTCATTTTTTTGACTATAGACTTTATATTATGGTATTTAAGTTTCTTGTGATGGGAGTAAGAGTAGATATATAGGAGACTGTGTGATCTTATGCATCAAAATTAAGTCCTACCAAGTGGATTGGGCCTTATTTCCAGGTAAGTATGCATAGGACAGCGACCCAAGGCTAAAGCTGTGAGCCAAGGAACTTAGGAACATAGCAGTGCTTAGTAAACAGTAGGTATTTTAAAAATGGTTGCAAAAGCTCTACGATTGAAGCTAAGTTTTTTTCAAAAAGCTGTTTGACACATGTATTTTTTCACTCTGCTTTCTTGCAGTTCCTAATATATGGCAGTTACTTTGCAGTGATAGCTGTGATTTTCCTAATCAGGAGTATTTTTACGATAACATCACTCAAATGCCAAAAGGAGTCAAAGAACCTGGTTGAAAATCTTCAGAAGACTGAGGCAGAAGAGCAGAATGCAGTCCGCTATGACACAAGACTGTGACTTTAGCACCTTCAGCAAAAAACTACCTGAGAATAAAGCTCATTTTGGGGTTTGTTCATCCACACAATGTTAATCAAGGAGGAGGAAGAAATGGAAGCAAACATGTTTGGTGCACCATTGCATTCCTAGTCATTTGTGAGCCAGAGAGCAACTGCCTGGAGCATCTTTCAATTCCAAATCATTTTGCCAGGTCATGGCTGTTTATTTTTTTATCAATTGCATTTTTCAATTTCAAAAACAAAAATAGAATTTTGAATTTTGTTGGTCTGAATCTTCAGAAGTTAGGTTTATCATGTTTACACAACTTATCGGACTAAAATTTCCAGTTTTGGTCCTTGTTTAGCCTTCCTTAGTATGATAAGTTCACATTCACCAAACGAAAGGTAAATTATGGCTTGTAAGTCACTTGTTGCATGAGGTAAGTCACATGGTAAACATTGGACTGGCACTGAACATACTACACAAGTGGGCAAGGTTTCTGGACTATAATCAGTGCCCTTTGGTGCTACACATTTGTAGCTCTGCCTCCCTCTTGAAACTTGCAGCCTTTTGAAATCAGGTGAAAACATTGTTTTAAAAGACTCGTGGGCCCTCTCTGATTTTCTGCTGTTTTGTGTACTTGCTGGAACTGCTTTGTTAAGCAGCATATATTTCAATGTTATTTTCCATAGTTTTATTGTGATTTGTATAAAATTTGTATGGATATTAGTCATCTTGCAGACTCATTAGCTGAAAAAGCAGGAAAGGAATGGAGTAAATAAATAGTGTGAATATTAAGTATTTGCGAGAACATACCCTTTCATTGTTTAAATTATCTATTGTAAATTATCTGTGCCTATCATGTTTTTTTATAGCTGAGTCAAACTTGCATCCAATCCTGGAGTGGCCTTAATACAGCAGGCGAGTGTGGAAATAGTAGGCTGAAAACTGATGGACCTATCCTCTATTTATGTATGACAACAGCTAGATTAAGGCCAGTATCCTTTTTTCTTTTTTATAAAGACAATATTTTAAAGTGCTAATTGAGATTTCAGACCAAATACCCTGGTGCAAACATTTCACAAATATCATCACTGCAACTGTGCCAATCCACAGTGGCAAACTATGTTAAGTATTGCTGAAACACTCATTAACCCAGTCCTTCATCCATAATTAATATTCAGGTAACCTGAGATTTGTTAATCTGCTACTCAATGCATTCTAGGATTGCCACCCCAACACAAGAAATAATGTTACAGTTACATGCTGTATCTATTCCCACTATATAAACTGCATTTCACGTCCAAACCAAATGACCAAGCCTAATCATGTAACTGTTTATCAGAAATTCAAAATAATGCATGAAGGAAGCATAGAAAACAAAGTCAGGTTAGTATGACATAAGAGCATTAACATTAACTTTAAATCAATAATTCTAAAGATGTTTATATTATATTAAGCAAGTTCAATTGTGATAATGCCCAATCCGTAAGTACATGGCATACTAATTATTTGTAAAATTCTAGAAAAAGTACACTTGCTCTATTTTGAAGGGAAAATGAGGCAGAAAAGCAAGAGTGCTGCTCATTACATTCTATGTCCAGGTGAAGGCATGACTATTACCTGTTATTTCCCCTAGGCAGTGCCAACGGTTAGTGACTGGTGGATAGAAGGGTTCAATCTGCATGAGGAAGAAATTACAAATCTCTCGTCCTCAGCTATTACTTCCAATGGAAATTGCAGCCCTCAGCTGCTTTACAGCTAAGCGAGTTGGGAGACCACATCCCCCATCACAGCACTCTCATATGATATTCGTTTTGAGCTCTGTGGTCAAATGTGTGAAGTCTGCATTTAGGTACTAATTTCTGCTTTCCACTTCCTGATTTGAAAATAGGTATGTGAGGGTGACAATCATACAAGGGAGATATTTTTTTAGAGCTCCCCAGAAGTTTATTGTGAACAATATAATGGGAGCTTGGTCCAACTTTACATAAACTGATATTTTCTGGCCAGTTTAATTCCTTTATTTTACCCTCTTTTTACCCTCATTAAAAAGATTTCAAATAAGATGCAGCAAAAGCCGTACTCCACATTTCACTGCCCACATTGTACCCCACATTTCACTGCCTTGGTTTTTTTTTGGCAAGCAAAAAACTGCATTACCATAGTTTAGCTAATTCTTGAACAAAATATTCTGTCTGCTTTATAAGTCAACTCCCTTGGAAAGTCTCCATATTGAATAGCTCTCTCCAAAAATCATGTTCATACTGCTTTTTGATCCTATGTAGAAAGCAGCATTTACCACCTCACACCGTTAAACTAAACGAAAGAGAAACAACTGTATGCCAACTGTAGTAAAATACAGAACTTTTGTTTATTACCATTACAGAAGCTTAGAGTCAACATATTAAAGTAAAACCCTCTAACCTTCAATGAGTATTGTACAAAATACACAGGATATGTTGAGCCAACTGCTGCTATGATTCAAGTAGTCACAAACTATCACAACAGGTATCTAGCCTCTAATAAGGCCTATTAAGTTCTTGCATCCTGTCATGGAGATCTCAAAATAAATTTAACAGAAACCTCGAGCAACATCCAACACTCTGGTTCTGTTAATGCAGAGTTGTCCACTTCCAGAATAGAACTTTTCCTTCCTCTTCCCTGCAGTTTTCTGCATGCCCTCAAAATCAGCTCTGGGTTGGAGGACTCTCCAGAGTAGATTTGGGAGGCATGGAGGAAAGGGAAGGGAAGGGAAGGCCTATTGCGCAAGCAGAGTTTTGCTTGCAGTGCATGGGATACAAGCCTAGATCAATAAATCAAACAATGTGTGTCCCCACCAGAGTGGGATTCTTCATGAATAGAACTGAGCAAGAAGTTAAGTAGGTTCTGTACTGCCCATCTAAAATCAGATTAGCTATAGTGTTCAAAATAATGACAGTTTGATATTTTATTTGATATTTTCCATGAGCCACAGAAAATGTCTCATGAGCTCCAGAGTAAAGAAGTGGGCAGCTCACTGAAGGCAATGAGTATCTTAAGTGAGATACTTCAAGATAACAGGGCTCATTCCTTTCCCTGCTAATCCCTTCCCCATTCCTTGACATATGTAGTTATTATAGAGCTTTCCCTCCTCACTCCAGCAGTCTCCACCCTACTCCTGCAGCTCATTGCAATGAAGTGGGATTCACAGTTTCCCCTCATGCAACCTGATTTGTAGATGGCTTCTCCACTCTACTGCTCACTGAAAGGTGGCAGTCTCTTTATACACACACACCTTTTGGATTCCCGCGGCTCCCCCCCCCCCCCCGCCATCTGTCTTCCTCTCAGGGCTCACTGTGTCACCTTCTCTTCCCCCTCTTTCACACAAACTATCAAAGAGGAAGTGACACGTGCGGCTGACTGGTCTTGTGACATCTGTAAACCTATATAAAGTTGTGCACAGGCTTTATTGGCTGATCACCAGGAGATTTTTCAACATTACCATAAGCAGCTGTGGAAACGCATCCTGGAAGGATCCCTAAAGATTTAACAAAATTGGTTAGTGCAAATGCCGACAAAGACAAACACTTTTTTTCTAATATTTATTTTTTTCCACCTGCAAACTGTAGCAAAACATGATCAGCTTTATTATGCAGACAGGTATCCCTCTACATTATAGAGAATTTAGGCATGTATAAATAGAAGAGCTCTTTAGGAAAGGAAAAACACTTCAAGAAATGAATAAAACCTTCAATTTTGAACTCATAACTCCAAACAGCAATGGTTAAAATGATGTAGGCCATTCATTCCAAGAGATACGACAGCACCTTAAAGTGACTGATCTATTTCCCCCAGTAACATTTTTCACATAACAATGTGTTAAAAGTTACAAATACTGATATGCACAAATAACTAATTCCTAAGGAAAAAATATGTACAGTACTGCAGCATAATGAATGTGGTATCTGCAATAACTTATTAGCCAATTTTAAAATACATGATACCATTAACATTCTCCTGCCAACGCACAGATAAAAAGATGTTTCCATGGCCCCTGTTTTGCACATTACCTGGTGTTTCTTGGTTTTAATACACAATGCAGGCTTTTTTAATTTTTTTGAAAGAGTTCTCTTGTGTTTAAAGCTAAGATCAGTGAAACAAGACAACAGTGCAAGAGGCGCAGAGATGTTGTGTGATCACATAAGAGTTCTTTTAGGTAAAGTGTCTATAAGGCTATAAGAAAGGATTGGTTGATGAGCCTCCTGTTGGAAATTGCCCTGCTGGTCCACCTGCCTAAAGAAAACAAAAGAGAAGTCTCACACAAAAAGCCACATGCCAAGCATACCATCTGGACAAAACTTACTTTTTCCATTTCCTCTAGATGGGCCAACTGCCTATAATACATTTTTAGCAAAGGCACAAGAGGAAAAGAGCTAACAGCATAGAGCAAATGTGCACAGATGAGTGTGTGAAACAGGATGGGGAGGTGAAAGTTTTACTTTTTTGTATCCCTTTGGAATCAGCTATGACTCCAAATATATAAAATTACAAGCATCAAGAGCATGGCCCCCTGCTCCATCCCAACTGAACTGTCTCATGAATCCAAGTCAATAATGACAGAAAAAGTTACCCCCTGATCTAGACTACCATATCACCAGAGCTCACTTACCATAAAAGGATTACTAGATACTCCAACAGCTGTAACTTGCCCAAATGGGGTTACTACTGGTTTTGCCTGTCCAAATGCAGCAAAGCCGGCTCCTTTGTAATAAAATATCAGAAGTTAAATTTAGACTGGTAACCAAGTATCACACTGTGCACATACTCTGCTCTCAGGAATTAAACTCAATAAAATATCTGATCCCAATCTAAACAATGGGACTTTATCACTTAGTCTTAGTTGACTTGCTTCCCTACTGTAGGTTTCTTCAACAAAATCATGTCAATTAAAAATACAACCTGAACTGCTCTCTGTGCACTCAGAAGGGTTTACTACAGGCTTCCTCAACCTCGGCCCTCCAGATGTTTTGAGACTACAATTCCTAGCACCCCTGACCACTGGTCCTGCTAGCTAGGGATCATGGGAGTTGTATGCCAAAAACATCTGGAGGGCCGAGGTTGAGGAAGCCTGGCTTACTACAACCATCTTAGTTTCTCTTGTGCCCAGTCCTTTAAGGCTGGGATCCTAGGTGTGTCTGAAATATAAAAATGCTAGCTAGCAAAGCCTATGAAACATGCATGTTTTTCTGACATAAAGGCACATTCAAACTTCACAGTATAAAATTATGCAGAAACTAAGTTTCTATTTAATCATGCAGTAGTATAGTTGCCAGATTCTTTAAATGAAAAGATTCAGAGTATCATCTTGAATACATTCCCTGTGTTTGTTAAGTAGCAACTTAGGTGTAACCTGGTTTTGCTAGGGCCAAACACAACATATTTAGAAATTATAACACTCTTTTCCTTATAAAAGAAAAGGAAGGCTGACAAAAATTATTTGCACAATAAAAACAGCTAATGCTAGTAAAATAAATTTCACAACAATTGTTTCTGTGTCTAAGGACAAAGAACATGAGAATATAAAATACGCTGCTCAGGTGACTCTCCCCACCCTCCTCCCTGCACCAACGTTATACCACCAGTGATATTCTGAAGCAGCAATGTAACATTCAATTGATGTTACATAGTATAGGCAAATTCTCTTGAAATAAACAGTCTCAACTTCCAAGACATTCTTAAGCTACTATTGTATACTCCCATCAGCTAAAACAAAATGTAACATGCAAGCATTTACCATTTGGTTGCTGAGTGAAAGCAGCCTGAGGAAAGGCTGCCTGGGCTGGGAATGCAGGCTGCTGGAAGTTACCACTAAAGCTAGTAGGAAGACTGTATGAGGCAGTTGTTCCAAATCCTGCAGGCATGCTCATGGATGCTGTGCCAAATGTTGCTGCTGGTAAGGGAAATGTAAGCATTCAATTATTTTTGAGCTATGATTTTTCTGTGAAGTCACGCATATCCTCAGAATCCCTTATGAAGCAGCCAGTCACATGGCTAGCCTTAAAACTATTAAGCTTCTGGATTTTCTAAGAACACGGCCAAAAATTCGTCGGGCCTGTTCCTTTTGACAACATAACATTTGCCAGTATCTCTGCCTAGATAGTTCCAAATGTTTTTTTTAAAAAAAACACAGAACATGGAAACTAGATATAACAGGCAATCAGGATTTTCAGTGAATACAAGATAGACGGAAATTATTTAGAGGGGACAAAAATACAAAACAGGCAGCTAATTTCAAGATAAAAAGGCAGGAAAAAGCACCTAATTTCAAAAGTGCAATGGAGCCATTTAGCTCAGTAATTCAAGAGCACTTTCAGAAATAATTTAACAAGGAAAGAATGAGCAGAAAGCATTAGAACACTGCTGCTGTTCACTGAAGTGCAAACCACTATTAAATTCTGTTCAATACACAGCAGTTGTCAAGATTCAAGAGCAGCTTCATTGGCTACCTCAGTGAAATTTTTACTCTTGACAACTGATCTATCTGCCCTTTCAAGCTGATTTTTGAGGGAGGTGCTACTAAAGAAAACTCTTAACCCAGGTCACAGTAAAGAAAAGAAAAATATTTTTCAGTGGCAGCACTGCATGTGAAACAGTCTAGTAATTAATTTATACCTAATATTACTAGGCATATAAAAGTCTCACAAGAATTTCTAGAACATTATTTTACTGAACCAGGAACTATTTTTGCTTTATTTACAGATTTAGAATGACACTTCCAAGGAATTTGTTGTTGAGATCTGGCACAGATTTATGTCATCACATCCATCAATAGTTATGGCTAGCCAGGAAATACATGGCATAAGAGTTAACGGAAGGGAATTGTGGAATAAGGAGGCCACACATGACTAGAAAAATAGACAAGATACAAATAGTGCACTGACAGAACTTACACAAGCTACTATTAGCAGAGAGGATACTTAATAGTGAAGCTTGCTAAAACAGCAAAGCCAAACACATTGTGGCAGAATGGTTTGGCGCTATGACTCATTTCACTTGAGCTACTATGAACACAAGCTTCAAAACTCCACTCATTTTAAGCACCTACTAATGTGACCATGGACGTAAGATAACAATTTCCGCTTACAATCCTAAACGCACTTACTTGACAGCAAGTCCCAATGAAATAAATGGCATGTACTTTTGAGTATGTGTGTTTAGGAGCGAGGTGTAAAATGTATTAACATTTACACCGAGTAATGTCATCATGTATTTCAGGTGCATCACCATCCATGCCCACTCCATTTCAGAATATGGAAGGAGGGTTGAAAAAGTCGTACATGCAGAGAAACCAGTAACTGGCAATAAGCTATCACAAGCAAATGGACAGTTAGCCACGTGAAGCTCATATAAAATGTGGCCACCTACCAAAGTGAGCCTGAGGAAATATATGAGAGTGCATTGCTCCTGAGAGGCCTTATGGGAAGTCACAAAGAGACCAGACAGTGTCAAATGATTTATAAACAACTTCTCGCAGAAATATTTTTGCATGATAAAATAGCCAGTATTTAAACACCGTTTAAAAATTCAGAATACTTCATAGACTATGTGCAAGTCACTTGTCAAATTCATTCCTCTAATAAAGAAACTATACAAGTTTTAATGTGCACAAGGGCCCAAAAGCCGCAAGGATAAATGTGTAAATTTTATTGCATACATTATATATGTTAAATGAACTACAAAGATTAAGTGTTCTAAAAGTAGCAACACAATGCAAATGTCTGAAACACAAATATATAAACAATTCAATTTATACTTTAAAAAGCAGGAAGTGGAAGATTTTTATCTGGACTTATCTATGTTCCCTGCTCCTAATTGTCTGTCCCAGATTGATAAAGCTACAACAAAAGCACAGACGTCTCCCCACTTACACAAATTTGACTTACATGCGACTGCGTATATGCATGACACTGGGAAATAATTAAATAAATTGATTTCAACCACAAAAAGGTGTAAAAAGAGCAAAAACATCCTGAAAAAGAGCAGGAAAACTACAAAAATGGTGCAAAAAGATCAGGAAAATGGCTAGCAATCCCATGAGCCTTTGCACCAACCTATGAGGCCTGTGGAAAGTTTGAGTTTGAGAAAGGAGGTTTGTAGGGAGGTTTTTCAAGGTTTTCCAGAGGTTTAGACAGTGTTTACAGGCTTCTTAGATGCTGCTCCCCACTCTATGCAATTTCACGTATATGTGTGGTCCCCGGGAACATAACCCCCGCATAAGTGGGGAGACGCCTGCATTTGATTTCATAAGAGCTTAACTATATTTAGCATGTTAGTCTGCCTCAAAGTTAAAATTCTATAGTACCAGAAGGTAAACATTAATTGCTATCAAACAAATGCATAGCATGTTTTCTTTTTCTAACCTGTTGCTGCTCTGCTATTGGTTTGGAATGGGTTCGTTGAAGGTGCTACTGCGGCTACAGGGGCAGCCACAAATGGATTTGTGGATGGTGTTGCTGAAAAATTAAGAATGGACATTTTTAACACACTATACATCCCTCAAATTGCCTATCAAAAGAAAACAGCATGATAACTCTTATGTTTAAGACATATTTTTATCATTTCCTGGTTAAAGAGGAGCCTGGCACGGCTAGGCACATTTGCCTTCAAGATGTAGAGCATAGCTACTGGAACAGGAAAAATGGGGTTGTGCAGCTGAATCTCTCAAACACAGGTTAGCAATATGGCTTAGTAATGTTTTACAATACCTCCAAAGTGAGCAGGAACGCTTGATGACGCAGGCTGTGTCTGTGTATTAGCACCCACTGGTACTGTTCCAAAAGCATTACTGGAAATAATTCACATTCATCAAGATCAGAGTCAGTTACTTAACAATTAAGACACCTACAGCTAATTACTGCATGTGAAAACATAGGAGGCTGTTAAATCACATTTTGCGGGGGGGGGGGGGGTTGGTTCCATTTCGTTCAACTTAAACCACAAGTCAAAAGCTAACTGGTGCTAGATCAGAATTTGTTTTCCCCAGTAGCCAAAAGTAGTCACAGCTGTATAACAAAATAAACTTAATTACGGTTCAAGCAGAAACTTGCACTTCTAGACTGTTACAATAATAATATATTTAATTTCTTTTGACATGGCTAGTACCAAGTTTTGCAAACCTCTCTCTATGAAAAGATTTGAACCAATTATGCCATTATAACCAATAAAAATATTCATACAAATGGCTTATCCCTGACAACAATTTAAAGCAATCCTAATTTTATCTTGGAAGTAAGCCTCACTGAACTCAACAAGACTTAATTCAAAGTAAGTGTCTATAGGAATGCAGCCCTAAAGCACTGAGAATACTGAAAGTGTTTTCCCCTTTTGCCAGAATATTTGTTACATTTTTATTCTTCCTACTTTGAGTTGGCGATACTTATAGCTTGTTTAAAACCTTTCATCTGAGTAAACCAATCAACCTCTTCATCCTCCCACTGAAGCCGAAACTCCCAATGCAACTGCAATTTTTAAACTATGGGTTTTCACAAAATGTCTGCACTTCAAAATTTTACCATTTCATTTTTTTGCCATTTGTAAACATGACTGGTTTACAACAACTTCTATCAAGAAAGAGTACCTGCTAACATTACTGGTGGAAGTATATGCATTACTAGAGGTTGCTGTGGAGCTGAACACACTGTCTAATTCTGCTAGAGCTGCATACTTGTCTGACGATGCACTTGGCTGGCTTGGGGCTGACACAGTGGGACCTGCTGGTACTGTATGGGCAGCACCAAAGCCACTTCCTGGCTCACTACCACCTAGGAAGAAAGAGACCAGATTAAAAATTCACAGAGTAGATTTCTTTAGAGCATAAGTTAGCAATAACTGAGATGACATTTTTTTGTTGAGCAACCTACTATTAGACAGTTGCAACCATGCTTTTCCATTTTCTTTAAAATTAGAGAAAGTCATGCTCCCAGCAAATGCAAACCTTCTCCATGGCAGCATTAAACTTTATTCAACATATTGTATCAAACCAAACCTTGTATTCACCTCATTTTCAGAAATATGAACATTAAAAGAGAGTCCCAAGTCAGGAGCACTTTCTGAAAGTCACACATGGACATAGGCTGACCTGTTCAATGTAATACAATCAGCTCATGCAAGACCAGCATACATGTTAGGAATGCCATGTGGATGCTTGCTTTAACTGCTATTCATATGTAGAACCTAAGTAAGCAGATCAAACACTACCTCCAAAATCGCTGTGGTAGTGTGAGACAAGTGAAGAGTCACTGCATGTGAATGGCTTTTCACACGGTAACAGCCATTCAAAGTGAACCCTTTTATATTTAATATCTAGAAAACAAAAAGATGATTGACTAAAGATATGAAAAGAAATTGTGGCAAACTCCAGCATTACACAAGCAGGTTTCTGATTATGTAACAGGCCTTCCTTTCTTTCCGCCCTGCTCCCTTCGTCTGCTCCAGAGCATCCTTGAACCCTCCAGAGCAAATTTGGGAGGCTCGCAGGGAGGAATTAGAAATCTCATTGCATAGCGGTGTTTCTTCTGCTAACACACAAACACCACTGGATTTTGCCCTAATAAATGTGCATCATTTTTTGTATCTGTGTCTAGCATATTGCAACTTTAATATGATACTTAACAAAGAAAATGAAACCTACATACCCAATAATCAATTACATAGCTTCCATCCCAAACAGTTCAACACAAGTTATTCTCTGTAGTGTTAAACTTCTAACATCATGAAAATCTTAAAAATTAGAGTTCAGTTAAAGGCTGTAATTTTTTGCTTAGGATATGCACATTCACAAGCCTTTGAGTCCTTAACCTCAATTGGAGGGTACGTTCCTGAAATTACTGATTTTTATTTTATAAGATTATATCCTGCACATTCCTTCAAAGGACCCCAGGGCAAGTGTATCCAATGTTGGTCCTACTCAAAGTAGACCTGTTGAAATTAATGAATATGCCCATCATGGGTCCATTGATTTCCATAGGTGTACTCTGAGGAAAAACTTAGTTGGACACAATCCACTGTTTGAGAGCCCAATGAGATCAGGATGAGGCTTCTGCTAGTTTCCTCATTGTTAAGAGGCTTTTTCCTAGCTTCGCTGCAGGAAATAAAGAAACCAAATGGTTGCAGAGCTGGCCAGGGAAAAGCTGATATTAAATACTAACAGTTAACTTGTACTATTATCCTTTATTTATTTATTTATACACCACACCCCTCATACAAAATATCAGGGCAGTGTACAACAAGGTCCACAAACACAAAAAACAGAAGGCATAATAAAAGGAATACAGCAATTTTATATTTTTAAGATATATTTATAACCCTAAGCCTTTTTTTTCCTTTTTCTTTTTGCTTATATATCATATTGGGCTAATAGAGTATTTCTGATTCTTAGTGGACCCATAGCTCTAGGTTAATGAGAAATGTATCCCACAGAGGACTTTGAACTTATTTTGAAATACTGTACTGCATTCTAAACACCTCCTTTATTATAGATGTTCAGCTTTAGGCATATTTCTACTTTATTTGAAACTCGATAGAATTTATAAGGGTATGAGAGACCCAAGAGCCAGTGTGGTGCAGTAGTTGTAGTGTCAGATTAGAACCAGGAAGACCTATTCTGCCATATCCCCATTCAGCCATCAAGTTCTCTATCTGATTTCACAACCCTCTTTCTTTAATTGATTGATTGATTGATTGATTGATTGATACCTGGGTGTCTTACAAAGTTAAAATTACAATAAAACAATTTAAACAACCCAGCTCACAAGGCTGCAATGAGAGGCAAGGGAGCAGGAACAAGAGATCCATCTATGCTACCCTGACCTGCTTGGAAGAAAAGATGGACAGAAACTCTGGAACATTGTACCACATGAAGTCAGCTAGTCATCTATTTCTGGAAATTGCAGTTTTGGTGCACAAATTTCCGAATGATGGGTGACCATTCAGCAGCTGTTGTGAGTGGACATTTCTACTCTAGTTTTTTAAGCTTGAAGGGAACCTGGCTGGATGGTCCCTTGTGAACTTTAAGGCTACTTTGCCTTTCGAAAATATGAGATATAATAACTGCAACACATAAATCTCCACAAGTTCATTTTTATAACTGCATCAGAGGGTTTTTTATGCATTGTGGATCAAAAATACATTGTGACATTGATACAAAAATAAGCAGGGAAAGTAGAAGAAAAGTTGAAAAAATATTCAGGTTCTAAGATCTCTATTTCTAGCATCACCAACTTGACCACATTTTGAGTTCTCTGATGGTATTAACTACACTGAAAGAGATGTATTTCCTTGGAAGCTTTGTCCTCAGTCAAATCAAATGCGTCATCACCTATATACACAGTGACATAACACCACCAGATAACTGACAGAATATAAATGGTGCTCTGGATCCTGGTGTGGATGGAGGAAACAACTGAATAGAGTAGGGACCACTATTACTGCACTAATTTTCCTTTTCCAGATCTACAATGCTTGCACGACTGCCAGTGTATCACATTTTCAAGCAATAGGCTATCAGTTTATATGGTGTATAGCAATCAGAAACATTTTAGGTAAACAATCAAAACATTTTAATTTCATCAGACTTTATTTATTTTTAGTTTTTATTTTGCTGTCTATTGCTTTTTCATTTGTTTTAATAGTGGTTTTACTGTTCTCATATTTTTATTGTATCAAGATTTTAGGGGGTTTAGGGTTTTTTTTTATGCAAACTGCCTTGGGAGCCCTTAAGAGGGCCAAAAGGAAGTCTATAAACGTTTCATAAATAAATGCCTACTAGAACATAACAGAACACCACTACTGCCAAGATAAATAGTGTAAGAGAACAGGTCAAAGAATAAGAATTAGTACCTTGCCCTGTGCTGAAGATATTATCTAAATTAGCAAGAGCTGCATATCTATCTGCTGACTGGAGGTTCGATTTATTCACTGCAGCTTTACTGGCTGCAGTTGTGTTGCTCTGAGAAGCACTGAAGGCTCCAAAATCAGCACTGGAGGATTTGGGGAAGTTATCAAAGTGTGCAAAGTTAGCATTCACTGATCCAGCGCTCCCACCTGTAACAAAATAAGTTAAACATGATGGATACTTTCAAGCTCAATGAATGAATGTCTCTTCAAATACTATTGGTGGCCATGTGCGGATATGTTTAAAGGGTCACAAATTTCAAGAAGCTTCTCCTCTGGCCAGGTTTTCACTTGGTTAAAATAGCCGGTTTTTATTTCCAAAATCTAGAAGCCCTAGCTTACCAGTGCTGTAGCAGAGTGCTGCAAGAGTAGGTGTTGCAACAAGGCTAACCTCAACGATTCACAAAAGCAGCAAGTATTTTAATATTGTATCTCCTGCTGCAAATTTAGTTAAGTAAGAATTCCTTTGACTAATCATACTTTGATTATTTCTGACAGGGAAGCAGAAATATCAAGTTAAGAAGTAAACACAAAGGATCCTGAGGCTTTACTGTGACCTTAATTTCTTTCTTCCCAGGGACTACTGTTGTGGGCACCCCACATCCTATTGCTATCTTTGACGAACAAAGATAGCTGAAGGGCGTGGAAGGAGTGAGCACCACATTTTAAAAATAAAATAGAATCCACATCATTACCTGTGACAACCATGCATTTAATGTTTTCAAATTTAAACTGAAAGAGATTCCACTCAAAGGCTGCCACCAAGTGGTCCTTAACTACTGACGAATATCTGATTCCACTGTTGAAGGTAACAGCATATACAGCCTCTTTCCTCACAAGAGACTGCCACTGGGTGACCTGACTCATGACAACATTTGAGAGATCAGTTTGTGTGGGATCTACAAAATTTGTCATTAAAATTTCCATCCTTAATACCTCAAAACTTGATTTATGAGATACTGACCAGGTTTTATATAGCTATCCTAAAGTTATTAGATTCTCATATATGCTGATAATTCAGTGACATTTTCAATTTGCAGGAAAAAGAAAACCATTTTAACTTTGACTCCAAAGTTTTTATATTAGGAGGTCTCAATCAAGTGCTGCTCTAGTAAACTACAAGCTAACATCTTTTAATTCAATGGCTAATAAGAAAAGCTTGACATGAAAATGAAAAAAAGAAAGAAAGGAATTGTAAATGAAGTGAGCTGAGTTTCCCACCTTGGTGGAACTTACTGCGCACAGCCTGGAGAGGGAAAGCGGAAGTAGTAAATTCACCAAAACTGCAGCTAGATGAAAGCGTTCTGAACGCTGGACAGCCAGAAATTGTGTGAGGGGTTAAAGTTAACAAAAGGGAAAAACAAAATTTTAAAAGAAAATCTTAAGACAACACACTTAAAAAAGGAAAAGAAAAAAGAAAATAAGTCAGCCATAGATCAAGACAAGCAAACATTATACAACATGACCGAAATTAAAGAAAAAGCAAAGCAGTAGCCCTTACACATGAGATTTTTTTTTCTGTGATCGAGTAATGTACTTGTGTTACATTAAATTAAGTTTCTTCTCTAGTTGCAGTGTATTTATCACCAACTTGGAATATGGAAAGCAGTATTCTTTAATTTAGCCAATATTCTACAGTGCCAACAAACACGACACAAATATTTCATGTGTAGGGATAATTAAGAAGCTACAGGGCAAAAACTTCATGCGAGAAAAAAGCACAATCCACACCAAACAAAAGGCAGCATTCATTACAGGTTTCCCCAGAGCTTCAAAGTGTGTGTGTTAAGACAACTAGATGAAGAAAAGAGTTAAGATATTCTAAATTGTGTCCAGATTAGTTTACATTAAGAAAGCTAACAATGTTAGAGCATTTCTACCTGTATTTTGGTGCTGAAAAGCAGACTGACTTGCTGTGGGGAAACCACCAAAATTACTCGAACCACTAGACTGTCCAAATGCATCAAAGTTTGCAAAACCTGCATTTGCAGAGTTCTGCGCTGTAAATTGCAAATGAACAAAACATGTTAATGGTATGAAAACAAAAAATAGGTCATAAACTGAATCAGATTATGGCAGGCTTTGAGGGTAGCAAAGCTGCACCTCAAACATGCCACTGACATAAATTGTCACTTATGAAGTATGGGACAAATAATTTTGAAAACATAACCTCCAAATGGGAATATAGTTATTTCCATGGGATCTGTGCAAGATACATAGAACTGATGTTTGTCTCTCATGCTGGTCCGCAACACAGAAAAGATCACTTCTGCTGATCACAATACCTCCAAACACACATTTTTTGTAATTGATAATAAATAAGTTGCACTTTTTTAAAAAACAGAAAAACAGCTATCAAATTCCACCTCACACAATTTGGAGTTCTTTTAGGATGTCATCATATTGCAATACTCCTGGTCTCTGTTGGATAGAGCAATGGGCCAGTTGGATCTTTGTTCACTGCTACTATGGCATCCATTTAGGACAGCTTCATCTCGTATCATGGTGATCTTACAACATTTTGGCTGACATACAAAGCAGGCTGCAAGTTCTGTGCACCCAAGGCTTTTGGTGTTTCTTGAACAGAAAATATCCATGCCACAAAAAAATAGCTCTTGAAACTGTGAAGGAGTTTCATAAGCATTGTGCAATATGCCATGGAAAGTCAGTAACCCCACTGGGTATACACAATCCCTTTGAGCTCACCTAAGGTAGCTCTCTGGGTCCTGGCCTTTGAGAAGTTACTGAGCCATAAAAGAAGACAAGACAGCCAATATAAATTTTAAGAGAAAAAGCCAAAAGGAAGGGAAACAACACTGTCAAATATTGGGCCAAAAGAAATTAGGATTTTTAGTATTTCCATCACTTTACAATATTGAGAATGTAAGGCAAGTAACAAAGTGCACACATTACAAAGTTGTCCATAGACGCAACAAGGTTAATCCAAGTTTGAATATATTGTTCCTGTAATCACTTCCAGAAGCATGCAATCAAAGAGTTAACTAGTGAGTTGAAACCACTCTGAAATTCAGCACCTCTTTCTGTTGTTCCTTTAGACTGCCAGATCACAGAGGTTCAGTAACAATAGAAAACAGAGTTCATAGAATTCCCATCAGGGCCTGGACTTGGAAAACTTTTATCACCCTTGGCACTCTCAATTTTAGTTTCCAGCCCTCAAAGCTTTTCTTGCCTCTTCCCTTTCATCAATCATGTACCATTGCTTCTTTCTTCAGTAGAAAGTGTCCAACTTTATTTTCCTTTGGTTCCTGCATTATTTGTTACTCCTTTTAACTGCCCTGACTTTTCGTAAGCCTGATATGCACTCCTCTCTCCTTCTGCTACAAAGCACATTGTTCTCTCCTCATGCATAATCTCCACCTATCCTTCCGTCCTGGTTCTTCTCTCAGTTCATTGCTTACTCTGCTCCTTTTATCCAACCTCCTTGCTTCTGAGTCAAAATCCCTCAGGGGTGTTGGGAAATGCATGCAAGCAGTGGCCAGACCCAAATGCAAGCAGTCAGACAAGCATTCACTTATAAAATTGTACCCAATTCACCTACGATCCATACATTTAATTTCTCACACATACACACAGAGAGAATGGAAGAGGAAGAGGGAAGTCCTGAGAGGGAATTCCCAAGAATCAGCATGGGATTAGAAATCCCAAGCAGTTAGTATGCATTCTGTGCTTACTGCTCACTTTCCTTGATGACCAGTGATGAAGAACCTTCTCTTCCTCTACTGACAGCACAGAAGCAGAGCAAGCTGCTGGAAGAGGGACAGAGCAATTCTCCAGGTCACCTGTCTCCCTCTGCAGTCAGGACATATGAATTAAACAAGCATGGGGTTGGGCCATGCAGAAAGGATCCAGATACGATATAGGCCCGATCTGGCTCAAGGTCTGGCAGCTCTCCACCCGTTCTGTAAAGGCCACTCACCACAGAATGCCACACCAATACATTTGCTTAAAACACAACCAACGGTACTCATTTCCCATACATAACTATTTGCATAAACAGAAGTGAACGAATAAATTGAGAGCTGGTATAATATATTCAATTATACAAACTGTCAGGTGCTTGATTGTCAGGCTACTCAGTATGTTATCCTTTCAACCTTCCCTTTGCAATGTAAGAATAATGACCTACCTTACAAGGTTGTGGTAAGGATTATTGAGAGAACGTATGCAAAACACTATGAACAATTTAATTGTAGATTTGGTATTCCATATAAGCTATACTACCAGTACTAAATTATCAATTTATGATCCTAAGATAATAGATTGGAAGGGCCAGATGTTTAAAACAATAAATAGTGCACAATTTCAATAAATAAGGTTTTCATAATGGTGAGGGACTGCCATTTTGCCAGTTATTTCAGAATTAAGACAGGCCAATCAGTCCACTTTTTCAGACTAAGTTTCCTGCTTACATTTAACAGTAAAGGGAAAGTGGCAATTTCAGTGTAACAGCTAAGTGGAAAATTTAACCATTTTTATTGAAGCAAATTGGGCAAATAGTTTTTTTAAACAAACAAACAAACAAACAAAACTATACTATGTGCATTTGTAGGGACTGAATTTCAATATCAGTTATCAGTAACAAATCCAGGAATGGAAAAGACTGTTACCTGTATGACTGTTGAAATGTGCAAAATTAGCAAAATTCGCTGTGGCTGTGGAATGAGGAGCAGGAGCAGCAAATATGTCTGAACCAAGGTCAGAGAGAAGATCAAACTGTTTCTTTTCTTGTGACTGTCCTTGAGATCGATTTACAACAGGAGACTGTAAACAACAAGTTAAAGTTGGCTAAACAAACATGAAGAGAGATTAATCCAAGGTTTTATTCCTGATGTAGAAGGACACACCACTTTACTTTTCACCCAGATCAAGTTATTCTATCTGATAATGCACTAAGGGATCTGTGCAACCATTCCATCCCTCCAACTCTCTGCGAGTAGAGGAAGGTTTTGACCTGGCACTGAAAGAATAACAAAGTTGGTGCCAGGAATGCTTAGCTGGAGAGAGCATTCCACAAAGGTCCACTGCTATAAAGGCCCTTTGTCATCATGCTCTGAACCTCTCTCAGAGGGGGTAACTGTAGGGCCTCAAATATTGACTTAAGAGTATGGTTGGGTTCATAGCAGGAGAGGCATTCTGTTAAATATTGGAGTCCTGAGCCATGTAAGGCTTTGCAAGTTTAAATGAGCATATTCAGTTAGGCCTGGGAATATACAAGCAGCTAATGCAGCCAGCCAGAATAGCAGTTATATGATCCAAATATCTGAGAGAAGAGATACGAGTGCTGAGCAAGCAATAAGGCTGGCTGAGATTCAGCATGGCTAAAAGAAATGAGAGTAGGAGGAAAAATCAGAAAATCAGGAGAACTGTAGGGTGTGAAAGAACAGTTTTTGCCCCTCTACTCACTTGTGTAGGTGTGCTCTTATTTAAGTGCAGTGCCGGTGCAGACTCTCCCAGAAGAGATTTAAGTGGCTTGACTTCTGGAGTACTACTTGTACTACTAGCAGAGGAGCCAGATATAGATGCATGGACAGATGCCACAACTTTTGCTTGTTCTGGTGGAACATACCTAAGACAAATATATATTACAAATTTAATAGACACAGTCCCAATATATCTTGTTAGCAGAAAGAGAACCCAAAGTTACTTTTTCAAGCACTATAGCAGGGGTTCACAAACTGTGGTCCACAGACCACTGAATGAGCTTCATTCAGGTGGTCTTGGTGTGTCTGTGGATTTGTGGCTGAAGATGGGAGGTGGCAAAGTCATTCCTTTAAATACGTATATTGATTTCTAATTGCATATTATGGCTTTTATTTCTTATATTGTATTAAAATTGGAATTCTATGGAATTCAAACTGTAATAAAATACTGTAAGAAACAAAAGCAGCAATAAAAATAAAATTAAATATCATATAGCATCTAACACAGTACATTACAACTGTTAAATTGGGCAGAAAAATCATTAAGTGGTCTGTCAAGAACCTCGGCAATTTTCAAGTGGCCCAGGGGGTGGTGATGTTGGGAACCACTGCACTATAGCAGCTTACAACACAGAACAGCCGCCATGCAAAAACAGTTTCAACAAATCTCCCCATGGCAGTCTTATGACAAGAGACCCCAGAGTAGAACAGTTATTTCGCAAGACTATTTCAATTCAATTCCAGTTAAGCTACTACCAGCAGTTGTCTGCCCTAGAATCCCTCTCAAATACTCTGATAACTTGCCAGTCCTGGTCTTAAGAGTATAAGGTAATTAATGAATGGAGGCAGTGGGCAATATCATCTAACAGTTTCAAGTACAATTTCTGTAACTGTACAGCTCTTAATGTTTATGTCAACTGCTTCCAAGTTGCACTAACCTCAAGAAGAGCAAATCAAACACGCGGCACATTTGGGAATGTGTTATAAAATTTACAGTATTTTGGCAGCATACTAAACTTTAAGGAATTCATTGAATGGTACACTAAACAAACTAAATTCTCAATTAATGCTACTGACATTTTTAATCCCAAACTGAAGTATCCCCAAGGTCTGCTCATACAAGACTGTTTCCCACATCAGTGTCCATTTCATCGAGGAAAATCCAGTGTTTGTTGAATATGCAGTATTCAACAAACTGCATATGTACATCTCTTTAACTTCAGGTACACCTACCAAAGAGAATGCTTTTGTCATGTTTTCCACCTTTATGGAAGCAATATGTATGTAATAAATTATTTTGTCACATAAGTAGTGGGGAAAGGAAGCAGTCTCATGCTACAGAAGACCACTAGTTCAGCTAGCTAGGTTTATCCTGGCTGGCAGAGGCTCTCCATTGTTTCAGAATGGAGACATTTCCTGCCTTAACTGGAGGTCGTAGGTAATGAACCTGGGGCCTTCTGCGTGCAAATCAGATGCTCTACCACTGAGCTATGTCGCCTCTCCTCCAAAAAGTCCCACCACTGGGATTTGAATTTGCAGTCTTAACCTTCCTCCGGCTTCTGTCCAGTACCTACAGACTGGCTTAGTCAATCATAGGCACTGTCAGTAAGCCTGCCAGAAAGTTAGAAAAGAGAACGCATGCCCCTATGCCACAAGAACTGCTTCCTGGCAAATTTTCCTTTGTTCAGTCTTACCCTCAATACTACCTAAGGGATAGTTTTAGAATACACTGCTCCTTGTGGTCAGGAACAATTGTTTTGTATTCTTTGGGAGAAGTGCCAACCCTCATGCTAGCCCAAGCCCAATGAAACATCATAATAATAATAATGGAGAAAGGAAGTAGTTCCAGGGGCCCGAGAGGAATAATCTCTAAGATAGTGATCAAGATCTGGCAATTAGAAATGAATCGTGGGAAGCTATCTTCCTGCAAAGCATCCAGACAAAGTAGATAACAATACAGATAAGAGCATGTATATACTTAAATGATAGTTATACTATCAAAATTAAGAAACACCAATTTTAGCAACAAAAAAAGTTGTTTTAAAATACTAGCAAAATTAGGTGTGTACTGACCATCTTTTCTTTTCGTATTTTTCTTGTAAGAATTCCTTGACCTTTTGAGGATCCCTGAAGTCTGGAATTGCTGATGATCTATCATCAAATAATCCTAGCCAAATCTGTTTACACACCTTGTGAAGGAAACACAATACAGTATTAGGTTAAATCAATTTCAACTTGATCATTTAATTCATATAAACAGTGCATACATACATTACCTAGGAGTTAAGTCCCACTGTGTTCAACCAGGTTACTTTCGGAGAAAGCATTTATAGGTGTGCATTGAGACACAGTAATCTGATCTTGCTATGCATACCTGCAAGGCCATTTAGCTCCTCTACAATAGTAACTATTTATATCAAGAAGCAGAATAAGCATTGTGCTTAAGAATTTACTGGTATGCATATCAGTGCTTTTCATAAATCTCCATCCGTTTCATGACAGTGTAATTGTTTAATATAGTATCACCAAAACATATCACAGAAGTTCAGTTATTCTCATCCTGCATTTCAACCCAAACAAAGGCCCCTAAAACAGTATACAACAGGTTTTCCCCCAAATAAAAATCTGCACTTTACAAATTACATCTTTAATTGAGGGGTTTTGTTTCAAACCTTTACATACATTTCTGTAAAAATGCATCTAAATTTTTTATTTGTAACTCAAAAGACATTGAATGCCTAAATTAATACAAATGATTAATTGAAAGATGCATTCTAGTCCAATATATATAATTTGGTACAAAAAGGTTTCCGAAACAAACCATACAGTTTTCAAACTGGTTATGGCTTTCTAGAAGAGGGTGCTAATGGCCATTTTTTAAAAAGGACGCAGATTTGGTGTTGAGGGGAGCACATAAAAGCCTTTTGACATCACATAATCACATCATGGGAGTGGTCTGTAAGAAAAAATGTTTTGGTTTTTTTAAAAAAAAAACCCAAAACTTTTTTAAATGGATAAATTTAAAATTGGGGACACAAAAGGCCTTTTGGCATAATGGCAACACATAAGGAGATCCACAGGACTTAAAATGTTTTTTTTAGAATGTATATATTACAGCAGGATGCCAAGTGGTTGCTCATTCATTGCGATAAAGGTAAAGTTACCCCCTGCCCTGACCGTTAGTTCCAGTAGTGGATGACTTTGGGGTTGCGCGCTCATCTCGCTCTATAGACCGAGGAAGCCGGTGTTTGTCCACAGACAACTTCCGGGTCATGTGGCCAGCATGACTAAGCCACTTCTTGCGAACCAGAGCAGCACACAGAAATGCCGTTTACCTCCCCGCCGGAGCGGTACCTATTTATCTACTTGCACTTTGACGTGCTTTCAAACTGCTAGGTGGGCAGGAGCTGGGACCGAGCAACGGGAGCTCACCCTGCCGCGGGGATTCAAACCGCTGACCTTCTGATTGGCAAGCCCTAGGCTTTGTGGTTTAGACCACAGCGCCACCCGCGTCCCATATATTACAGCAGGAGGTCAAGTGGTTGCTCAGTTCATTGAGAGAGGATAGGACTATTGTTGCATAAAGCTGAATAAATGTGTTCAGGGATAAGGGCATCTATTTCTTCTCTGTTACTTCCCTCCTAGCAAATGCAAAGAAACTGGGATTTTGCATGCAGACTGTTGTTGCCAGTCTGCATTTAACAGCAATGATGAAAATGAGGATTCCCATGGGTCACCCTGACTAATATAAACCAGGAAGTTGGCCAGGAACAGCTAGCTGCCTAAGTGCAGGCAGGCAGGCACAATAATTTAATTTTCTTTCCAGAAACCAAATATTAACACTAAGCTTAAGAAATTTCTCAATAGGTTTTTTCAAATGAATTGATAATACAGGTAGAGAGCTACAAGCTGTATATATCTCAAATCCTAGCAAAAAGTGAACCAATTTAAATTAAAGCAACTAAATTGTTAATGTACTGAAAAGCATCCTTTGATTTATGAAAGCTTCCTCATGTGCACTCCAGCTATTTCCTAGAAAAGACACTTTCCACAGTTGATGCAAGTATGGAATGACTGGAGTCCCAGTTTATCTTTCATTCAAGATGCAACTGCACACTGTTGCTTATGCAGACTGGTCAAAACCCTGTATCTCAGTATTTTCCACCTTATGGCACAGAGATCATTTGGATAACTTCTAGTTAAAAATAGGTGGTCTGATACACAATTACAAATAAGTCACATTTCATTCATCTGTAGACTACTCTGTATAAAAACAGTTTGGTAATAAAGATAATGAACATTTCAGAATATGCCATACAATGAATGAATAACGTATATTTTGCAGCAGCCAATTACTAGATTTACAATTTGACATAGCAACAAAGCAGAACTATAGTACAAGTGAAACTTGCCACAGGAAGGATTTTGAAACGGTGTTCCTGAGTAAGCAAGCAGTAACTTGTATTCAGTAAATACCCTAATTCCTTTGTCTTAGTCACTGATCTATTGGCTAATATATGCTTCCTAGAAATGCAAGAGCTGAAAGCATTAGTCCAACACAATTTTAGATACTCCATAAATAATAATTGCACTTCAGTCAGGAATTACTTGCTTGGCTGCCTTTATAAGACATATAAATATTCCCTCTATACCACTTTCATTTTACTTGATTACATTCTATTCTATTTCTACAGGAACTGCCTCACTCCTGTTTTGTGAGCATAGTAATTCATTATGGCACAGTATCTCTTCATCTGCAGCAGTTTATTCCTTTGCAAATACTGTAATGGGAACAACTTTTGTGTATCACACAATAAAAAATATTAAGTAGACAAAAATAAATTTATCAAACTGTAAGAAGGTTGTACTTGTCAATTATTTGTGTAAGGAATTGCTCTAAATACCACAACTGCTTACAGAGACCCTTTAATAGTTTCTGCATCTTTCAACGGTAACTTATGACCACAACTGCTCATATTACATTTCCGATAAACAAGAAAAATATAGAGAAACAAGAAAAATATACTGATTAGCCTGGTCCCAAGAGGATATAAATGCCCATTTATTTCTCACCACTTTGTTATGGGTTTACAGAACTGATCTCCCACCCCTACCTTTTTCCTCCACTTTCTTTTTGTGGCTTAATAAGTGCCCTTCTCTCTTTTTAACTGATGTGAGCTGCTCTGGGAGACAATAACTAATAGAAAAAAGGACACCTATGATAAATTTGTATAGCGTCACAACTAGCTTACACATGCATCATAGGGGCATCAATATTTGTAAGAATTTGTATTGCAGAAAAGGTTGGCACACATAGTCCTGGTCATCCTAGATATAACATAAGTTTGAGGGAGATTACTACACCAAAGGATCAAAGCCTTGAAACATTAAGTTTAGTGCACTGCAGAGGGCAACACTCCCAATGAAGACCATGCCACCTTACACATGGGATAGACTATGAAAATTCTATTGCCCTAATGCTGCAAAAGGTTTAGCGTTAAAAGAACAAGGCCTAAGGAGCTTTGGTTTTATGTGCTTCGTCCCACTGCATGAGGAAATTAATAACTCCAATCCTGTTATGTAGCAAAACAGAATCAAAACCAGGTTCTTAAACCCATTTTGCAGGTCAAACACCAATTACGTTTGCCTGTTTAGACAAGAAAAGTATGGATTGGCACAAGTGATATTCTTTTATCTTCTAATCAAGCAGAATTATGTTTCACTATGCGCTACCAGAAAAACTAAGTGCTATAAACCCCTTTCTAAAAATAACTTTTAACTGATTGCCTAAGAATGGAAAAGTTTATTGCCAATGTAAGTTAACTATATTCCTCAGCAAGCAGATGACCTGGCTGAATAATGTAAGACAGAGTCATGGGCCAGGCTCCATCCATGTTATTAGCTATCACCCACTATTATTTTAACTATAAAGACCTACAATTTTATTATTTATGGTGTCTTTATGGCATTCATAAAGTAGTTGGGATACCCTGCTAATGCCTAAATGAAGTACTCATTTCATGAGATGTCATGTGTTCAGTGTCATGTCTCAAAACATAGTATTCCCATAATTTATGCCAAATTTATTTAGATTTTTTACAATGCTGTTAAGAGATTATTTCTAGAAGATTCCAGAACCAATGCCTGTAATCTGATAACTATCTACCTTCACAACAGAAGACATGGGGCAGATCCCAGTGCCTGAACTAACTTTTGCAGGAAGGGAGTCTGAGGAACTGAGGCAGATAGTGGCTGATAAGAGATGAAGTTCTAGGCCTAAAAGACAAAATAAAAGCTGACAAATTGCTGGGTCCAGATGGCATCCGCCCAAAGAACTCAGATGTGAAATTGCTGAACCTTTAACAAAAATATGTAACTTGTCCCTTGTAATCAGCCTCCATACCAGAGGACTGGAAAGTAGCCAATGTAACACCAATTTTTAAAATGGGATTTAGAGGAGATCCTGGAAATTACAAGCTGGCTAGCTATGTCTGCCCTAGGAAAACTGGTGGAAAGTATTGTTAAAGATAAAATAGCCGAACATACAGAAGAACGAGGCTTGCTGAAGCAGCTTTAGCATGGATAGAGAAGAGTTTTTTCCTCTCATAACCAGTGTTAGAAACTGGAATAGAAAAGCTAGGAGCCAAATGGCTCCTGGGACCTGGGTTGTGGAAGCAACACTTTTTATTTATTATTTTGATAAGCATGAATTAATACGCAATTCACACAAGTGACACATTGTTAATATCACATTTTTAGCAGAAATTGTTAATGCCTGTTTATTTTTGTGTTTACAATAAAAATATTGGTACCATACTCTTTATTGTTAAACTCCTTAACATATTGTCTGTCCTTAACATAGACTTCGAAGCTTCAAATCACATACAACTCAGTAATCCTTGAATGTCAGCCAGGCACAAAAAATGGCACCCAGAATTCTGGAGGTGCTCGCAAATGGAGACTCATTAGGTGCAAAATGTGCCTGGCACCCTGCTAATTTCAAGCCCTGTTCATAACACCACTACTCGTGGACATCCACTGAAGCTAAACCCTGGATGATTCAGGACAGATAAATGAAAGTATTTCTTCATACTTAAACAATGGAACTGGTTCCAACAGAAAGCAGTGATGGCCACCAACTTGGATGGCTTTAACAGACTATTAAGATAAGTTCATGGAGGACAACTTGTAGAACAGCTGCTTGTTCTACAAGTTGTTGGGAATTGCAGGTGGGCAGGTGCTTCCCGGCTTCCCAAAGGCACCTGCTTGGCCAGTGTGAGCAGGAATGCTGGACTAGACAGGCTACTGGCCTGATTCAGCAGGCTCTACTTAGGTTCTTCTTTCCTCCAGGATTTTCCATTTTTATATTACAAAACCATTACATTTTCTGGTAATTTCAAAGATCCCACATGCAGCAACTTCTTCCTTTCTCCCTATAATTAACATATGGCAAGTTACTGTTGCACTGTGTAAAATGGATAGGAATTAAGTGGTTTGAGGAAAGACCACTCATCTTTAACAGGCAGCTCTACCCACACTGAAAAATGTACCACTGCGGTATTTTGAACAATAAACAGTTTTGTAGAAGAAAAAGGAAAAAGAGTAACAAAACACAATTGGCACAAGGCTATGAGACCTCATTCCTGCTGCAGAAACCAATTTGGAGGGGTCTGAAGTTTCATAGTTCTCAAATACTATTTTTTTTGCTACATACAGCAAAGAAAATTTCAATTCTCATTTTCAGCATGGGAGTGGCTAACCTTTTCTGCCTCAGGGGCTGTATTCATCCTTGGCTATCTCTCTAGGGTGCACATGCTAGTGGGTGGGTTTAGCCACTCTCCCTCACACACAAGATACACCCTCACACACAGCCCCCAGTTGGTCCACAATCAGCTCAGGATGACGGTCATTGCATCCTCCCTACTGATCAAGTGATCAATCTCATGACAATTTGCCATTTCTAATACCCATCAGGGTGCTGGCCAGGGTGGGTTATAAATCTATGACCATCCTGCACCGTGTCTACTTAACACTCCATTTTTACCAACACCAAAATCAGTGTGGTTTATAGGGCAGAAAAACTTGCTTGGGGACTTCATTAGTCCAAGAGTTAACCATCCCTGAATTAAAGGCTTCTATCTTCTTGTACAATGATAAATCACATTCATTTGAGGATTATTTATTCCCTTAAAAACAAGTCTGTAATACTTACTTCATTCCCATGTTTCTGCAGAAATTCTATTTCTTGCTGTGTGAATGTGGTCATGGAAATGGACTTCACTCTGTGAGGTGGATTTAAACCTCGTCTATAAAACAAGAAAATTGAAGGAAGTCATTCTAGAAACTTTTTAAGAAGAAAATAAAGTTCTACTATACCTTGAAGCTACAACTGGTCAAAGAAACCATCCTAGCTCTGAAGAATCTTAGGAATGAAAGAAAATTGCCCTTTTCTAAGTGTTAGTACTTGTTTTGGAGTACTTATCCAAGAGCAGTGAAAAAGTTAGGCATAATAATTTTAGTTTAATGAATTTATAATTTTACAGGAATCAATTAAGAATATCAGATCTCAATTCCATAGCCCTTTCTCTTAAGGACATAAATCTTTTGAAGGGACTAAGGAACTGGATGGTTTAAAGTACTTTGTAAAGATACAGATTAACATGGTTGCCTTGAATCTGTGAAATTTTCTCCCTACTATTTACCTACTTAAGATCTGGAAAGCTAAAAGTGTTAGATAACCTGAGGTTTCATACATTCTTTTGATTTTTAAGTGTTTGATGTCTTACTGTGTTCTAATTTGTTGGAAGTCACCCAGAGTGGCTGGGGTAACCCAGTCAGATGGGTGGCACATAAATAATTAATACTAACAACAACATCAAAGCATCTGAAATTTATTTAAGTATCATATTGTTAGCATTGAAGTTTTATTAATTTAACAGATTTTTTACTCCTTAAACTGCTTACTATTTCAAAAATCTCTAAGCAATATAGTCTAATAAACAAGCAAACAGGCTGAACTTTATTTGCTCCACCTCCCTCCATATTTGTCTCTTCAGACTTCTTAAAATCAAACCTGTTCCTTAAAATGGGTGTGGCAAATTTACGGTCCAGACACTGTTGAACTCCCATCATCCCTTGTCATATCGCACACGGTCCTGTCTCAGTTTGAGAATGGTTGTACTAATTTCAACTGCAAAAGTTCAGCAGCAACCGTACCACTGCTATGTATGAAATAGAACCCAAAGGTCTGGAAGTGATAGAACCAATTATTCCTGCAGATACTAAATAGGAAACTTCAGCAATACATCTAAGCTACACCTCTGTATAAGGATTACTGCAGGAAGGATTAGTGACTCAACAGAAATAGTGATATGGCTAAAGTTACTTTCATGTGTACTTGTAATGGTGAACTGGTAAAAAGCAATTAAGAGTAAACTTGTGAGTACATAATATAAGTACATGGTGCTGACAGCAAGACTTTTTACATATAATTTTTATGGAGAACTTTTTACATGCACATGTGTCTAATTATGGATGGCAATTGATGGATTCCTTAAACATGGTCACACAGGCAGCAATATAACTTTGGATCTACAAGTTATTTAGCACAAGGCCTTCCAGTGACTTTCTTTACTATACGCTTTAAATTGGATATCCAATTGTCAGTTTGGAACCTTCCATACAAAGCACATATTCCACCTATGAGCTCCAATCCAGAAGCAGGAGTCAACAGTTCCGATCCATTTGACAAGTGCCATACCTTCATTTTAGTAACTGTCACAGCAAATCAAGCTCAAACTGTCATGTGCAACACCATGTGGTTGAGCAAAACAAATCTTGCAAGGTAAAAAGGATAACATGCTGGAGAAAACTGCAACTGCTTCAAAATGATGAGGGACAATTTGCACAGTTTGCAAACCATTTGCACAGCAAGTTTGATATTAATTGGGTTACGAAAAAAGACCAAATTATGCTAACCAAACAACTAGCATGGTGAACTCAAATCCAGAGGTTAGCCAGTAACCATTAATCTGTTTCCTGTTGTAAACCCTCAAGGCAAACTTTTAATGTGCTCAATAAACTCAAACCCATGAAGGGAACACTCAGGCAAAAGTGTATTTGCCATCTTAATTACACGAGTACCAAAAAATAAAAATCCATCTGCAGAGTATTTGTCAAGCTTTCCCCACCCTTTTTACATACTTCCTGGATTAATATCATAATTGGCACCTGTCCACCTCTAGCCTTTCATATGCTCTTAAGGGAACTCGATCAAACTAGCAGACAAAGTTTGCATCCCTCCTCCTAAAGGCATAGCCCACTTTATATAGAGAGAGAATGTGCTCGTTAAGACCCTCAATTTTTCATTACCAGTATTCCTCCCACTTTGAGGAAATAAAACCCACCCATTCTACACTTAAGGGACGCTGGAAGATTCAGCAAGCCCCACACCATTTATCCTCCACACCACATCAGCTTCCTTCTTTTCTTTCCGGGGATCTCTTCAGCCTGGTCTCCCAATTCTCACCCGTACCAATGCGCAGCCCTCTTGCACACCGTGTGCCCCTGTCACTCGCTTGAAAGACACACGAGCAACCCCCACCCCACCCCCGCTCTCTGCCCAACACCACGCGCCCCATTCCTCTCAAAGGATCTGGCCCAGCAATTATGGGGGAAATGAGAGGAGGGGGGAAAAAAGAAATCCCCCCCACCGCAAACTGCCCGCAGTCTCGTTTACGCTTCAGCCTCTCCCCATCCACCCACCCCCCTCCCCGAGACCGCTGCCAATTCCCATATGGGATCAGGAGCGGGGCGGGGGAGGGAGTGTTCACCAACCCCCCTCCCAGCCCCCCTATTTCTCCTCAGCTCCACCACCCCTCCCTCCCATCGCCTGCTTAAAGCTCTCGATTGTTTCCTCCCGCCTGGGAGGAGGTCAACCCTTCCTCCTCCTCCTCCTTCCTTTCTTTTTCTCTCAGTGTCTCTTTTTTCTCTACGTCTCCTCAACTCTCCTCTCCTCAACTCACAGGATGCCGGAGCAGGAGGTACACACGAAGCTGCCCACCGTCATGTCGGTGTAGGTGGGGCCGCGCTGGTCGCAGTCGAAGCACTTGCGGTTGGGCGGGAGGCTGCTCATCTCCCTCAGCAGCTTCAGGTGCTTCTCCTCCTGCTTCCGCTTGGCGCTCGCCGCCATGGCTTCGGAGGTGGCGGCCGGGTAATGTGTGTGTGTGTGTCTGTGAGCGCGCGCGCGCGGAGGTATAGAGGCCGCTCTCCGGGCTCGCTCACGCCGGCCGGGGAATGAGGAGGGAGGCCGGGACCCGTCCGGCTCCGAGACGCCCGTGAGGGGAGCGCGAGGGGGACGAGGCTTGGGCCCGCGCCCCTGGCGCGCGCGCGCAACCCCAACTGACGGACCGACGGAAGGAAGGGGAGGGAGGGGGGAAGGGAAGGAGGGGGAGGGGAGCGGCGTCGGCCCTCGGCGAGGAGGACGGGGCGGCTGAATGACGAGCCGAAGCGGAACCTGCGCGGCACCTTTTCTCTGTAGAGACAAGGAGAGGAGGAGGAGGGGGGGGAGCGAGGAGGAGGAGGTGGAGAGCAGCTCGGCGATAAGCCGCCGCCTGCGCCCTGAAGGCGCCTGACGACGAGCGCCCCCTCCCGCATGGGAGGATTCTTTCCACGAGCGGCTCCTTTCCCCGTTCTATCTCATTCTCTCCCCCCACCTCGCCCTGTGGGAGACGCTTACCTGGCGTGACCCTGCAGGTGGTTAAAAATAAGTAAATAGGAAACGAGAAGGAAGAGAGGGGGTAAAAACAACAACAACCTGGCCCAGTTGCAGGGGGAGGTGGCGAGAAGAGGTCAAAGAGAGAAATGTCAGAGTTAGGGAAGGGATGGAGACAGATGGGACAACTGGAGGCCAATAAGCAGCAAATGATTCCCTCCCCTCCCCTGAGATTTTGTCCCCGCAATTTTGCCTGATTTTAATGAAATATTTGACCCATGGCATGTCTAATCCATAGTTCCTAGCTGTGGCCTGCCCAAAAGGACCCCAGCAGGCAGGACGCGATAGTTCCATAGCCCTCTCCGCGGCTATTTCCCGGCTGCTTGTATTCAGAAGCAGGCAGGATCCGAAGCTGGAGGCAGTATATAGCCACGGCCACCCCGCTATTTCGTTGGTAAGGTAAAGTGTATGAGAGAAAGGGTGGGTGTGTGTTGCACCCACGCACAGCGAGGGTGTGTTCTATGCGAGCAAACCACTACAAGGAAGCTCTTTAAATCCACTGGCCCCGATTCAACAGAGTTAATCAGTATGCGGATCAAAGCAGTGCCCTAAGCAGTGCTATCCACGTTCACTGTTGTTGGACGGTGGCCGGAGTGCTTCTCCAAGTAAGAGCACTGGTCCATCAGGGCATTGTCTACTCAGACTGACGGCCAGCACAGCATACTGTAGCTAGGGTTGCAATTTTCAAAAATTAAAAATTCCCGACACCCCGCAAAGTTGTTGAGCTCTCTTTAGGAAGATCCCAAAATTGTTGAGTTTTTCTGGGCTTTTCCCACTGTTTTTTCCATCGCATTGCCATACTTCTGGGTTTCCCGACATTTTACCTATTAGGCAAAATTCCTGATATTTTGTGCTCCCTTATGAAATTGCAAGGAGGAATACTGGCAAGAGGAATCTAAGGGGAAAGGACTTCCCTCCAGAGCACATGAGAGCTTTTGGACTTTACCCAGGGGGGTTGGGTGCTGCTATCACCATGTACAAATCAGTTAAGTGTGGGGCAAGGCAGAAAAGGCTGATGTGAGAGGAGCAATGAGTCCAGCTGGTATGCTACCTGGTAGAGCTGGCTTATCAGCAAAGGGTTACCTAGGCTCCCTTGTGCCCTTGGCAAGGAGATGTATCGGTCCCTTGCATCCTTGCCATAATATTTTTTGCAATTTTTGTGCTCCTGTGGGTCCACACCCTTTACTGGTGCCAACCCCTGGGTAAAAGGTAAAGGTAAAGGTACCCCTGCCCGTATGGGCCAGTCGTGACCGACTCTGGGGTTGCATGCTCATCTCGCTTAAGAGGCCGGGAGCCAGCGCTGTCCGAAGACACTTCCGGGTCACGTGGCCAGCGTGACGAAGCTGCTCTGGCTAGCCAGCACCAGCGCAGCACACGGAAATGCCGTTTACCTTCCCGCTATTCATCTACTTGCACTTAGGGGTGCTTTCGAACTGCTAGGTGAGCAGGAGCTGGGACCAAACGACGGGAGCTCACCCCGCCGCGGGGATTCAAACCACCGACCATACGATCAGCAAGTCCTAGGCACTGAGGTTTTACCCACAGCGCCACCCACGTCCCCAACCCCTGGGTACGCCCCTGCTTTTCAGGCAACAGAAAGGGAAGGATTGGTCTCATTGGTTCCCAGAAGTGGGAGCTGGGAGCAGAAAGAGCTCATTGACCTGTGCAAGCCCCACAAGCTCTTCTGTCCCATTCATTCACTGTTTTTGCTAGGCATCCGAAATGTGAATGCGAACATGTTACCCTATACCAGGGCTCAAACTCCTGTCTTCTGCTATGTCTGTGGCTTCCTTCGTCTGGCCCTTTCCTTTTTACTACTGACCCCTCCTGGGTGTGTCTTGAACCCTCATCCAGGAAGGCTGCTTATGGTCTTTGCAGGCATTCTGCTCAGATAAGTTGCCTCCCTCCCTTAAGAATGCTGCTACAAAACTGTGGCTGTGAACAGATAAGGGCATTTGAACCCCTTCCTTCAGGGGTTGACAGAATGAGGTGGTGCAGGGGTTTGTGGTGCAGAGATTCCACCCCCGTGGTCATGAGTTCAATTGGATCGCTGGACTTCTAGTGGAGCAGTCCAGTTGGTGGCTTTGGCAGCGTTTTCAAGGAGATTGGGGGTGGGTGTATTCCATTTTTAGTTTCTGCATTTTCTGATCTCCTTGGGCTACGTACATATCATTCAGCAGCATATTTACCCCCCTCACACACACCAGCGCATAACTGGTGTGTAGAATTGCTCTCTAAAAGCTCTCTATAGCTAATAGCAGCTTTTAGAATTAACATTTACTTTCACTTTAAGAAGCTAATTCAAGGTTTTAATGCCACAAATGCATTCCATTTTCAGAATAAAAAACCAGGAACTAAAAGCATGCTTGGGTATGGGTTAATGTTTTTTGAAAGCTATGATCAGCTGTCATTTTCATTTCTAAATCCCTATGTGCATAGCACAGTGGCAAATATATTTTTGCATGCTCCATTGGAATGCTTGGTCTTGCACAATTCTTGTTCATTCCAGTGACAGATGCATACACAGTAATAGTCCAGTAGAAATTTGCAGAAGCACACAACAGGCAAGTAGCAAAAGGGAACATTGTTTGAAACTGAGTGAAGCCTTTTTAAGAATCTGTTGCAAACCAGCATTGCCCACTGGAATGCAGAACTTGGACCTGGTCATAAAACTATACACAGTCATGAATTCACTGAGTAATCAAGGAAGATGACACAATCTCAGTTTTACTTCCCCTTCAAGAGAGATATATTATCTTCTCTTCCAAGTATGGGAATTCAAATAAACGGAGTACAAAGGAATGAAGAACTGGCCTCTCTCCACAATGAAAGGAATGCTGAAGACAGTAGCTCATGTGAATCATTGCTACATATTGATTACTCTTTTTTTTCAAACAGATTTAATCAACCGAGAGGAATTTTAAGTAGAAGGGAAAGAAAAATGGGATGCAAAGGTTAACATGTTTGTTGTAGCTTTTTACTCAGTTCCATTAATGCTAAGCATGCCTGATGAAATTAGCAGATATTTTTCATAATGGGTTTTGGAAGTAATGGAAATAGATGACTCTAGAGATTGGGATAATGGACTATATTGATTCTTTGGGATACATGAATAAATTAAGAGCAGATTTTCTTCCCTTTTTTGTTCCTTGTAATATGAGAAAATATATACAGCTGGGTAACTTTTGAAAGTTGTTGTGACACATAGATGTTCAGAAGACAGAGTCAGTACTAGCTGTTATATAACCCATATTTATGAGTTAATTTTATGCTATAGGGGAATCTGAAATGCAGTGTTGGCCTAAATTATACTAGCATTTTGTATTGTAGAGTTCCCCTCAGTACTCCACATTTGCTCTGAGCCTATGCAACACAAGATCTAACGGAGCTTTCAACACGCCATAATGCATGAACTAGTAGAAAAAATATGTACCGAAAACATGTTTATTAGCAGTAAGGGAAACTGGTATTTTCAAAATCTTAGTTTCTTAATAGTTCACTCATTAAATCTTGTTCTTCTAAAATGTAGCATTCTTGCACACATAAGAAGTGACCTTTTCTGCCTAATTGCTGCTAATAGCATTTTCTGCTTTCTGCTCCCATTTTGGAGAAGAATAATCCCATGGCTTTCTGTTCTCAGTAAACCCATAAAGTTTCCGCAGGGCTACACGTGCAGCCTCTTCTTCAGCTGCTAATATTGTTTCAGCAGTACCTTCTGCCAGAAGCTTCTTATCACTGAAAAAGAGGAAATACTTTTATGAGAAGTCTTAATTAATTTATTAATACTGTGCATATATATAAAGGTAAATAAGGTAAGTGACCCTTGGATAGTTAAGTCCGTCAAAAGCTACTATGGGATTGCAGCACTCATCTCACTTTCAGGCCAAGGGAGCCGGCGTTTGTCCACAGGCAGCTTTCTAGGTCATGTGGCCAGCATGACTAAACTGCTTCTGGTGCAACAGAACACCATGATGGAAGCCAGAGTGCACAGAAACAACATTTACTATGTATATATGATAATATAGAAGGAAACAACAATACTGCCTTCATTTTTCCTAAATTGTATGTCCAAGTCCCTATGGGCCATGTGATAAATATTCACAGACAATTTTAATTCACTGAGCCTCAACTTACATGCTGAGTAACAAGTTCTAACAAATTCAGAATGAAGTCCAGTTAAGTACTTGGCAGGAAATAAACAACAGTCATGTTTATACAACCAAGAATTGAATTTGTAAGATTACTCCAAGCATTCAGAAAAGACAAGGAGATAGGAATGAACTATAAAACAGTAGTGATAACAAAGCCGATAGTAGGACTAAGATAAAGTCAAGACAAAAGCTTGGTTATGTAATTAAATTCTCTCCTCCTCCCTTTTTAAGATTAAAAATACATCAGACTAAAACTGAGGCATTCACAGCAACCTAACATTTTGACATTACACTTTCTGTACTGACATTTCAAGGAAGTGAACAGTGAATCAGGCTAAAGAATGCCAGACATGTCTCCTCCTGTCAGAACAGTCTGACACACATTTCTTGTACAACTGCCAAGCTGAAAGATTTATTGGTACACTGATACCTAACATTTTTGGAGAGTGGAAACTAACAGAAGCATGTAGCTTCTTTATAAGATGCATCTCACACCTTAGCAAAAAATGTGACCAAATTTATCTTACCAACTAAATGGGGTAGAAGTGCCTGCTAGGAGTGCCAATGCCACATCACAGGCCCTAGCAGATCTACTTGTGAGGGCATCACATTTGACTCACCAATATGCCATGGTTGATTCCCAGATTACATTGATTGCATGGTCAGGGCTTAGGCTGTGATATATTTCATGCACTGATTCAAATGCAACATCCACACATACAACCTGTGGGCCTAGAAGCAGGACTGGTATGATCTCACAATACACAGCCAGTAAGGTCATTCAAACCAATCTCAGGTCTTACTAACCAATACAATCCAACGAAGTACAAGGGCAGTACAGTGCTAGCTCCTGACTGTCGAGTTAGTCTTGGTTCTGGAGCAGACACATTCCTCTTGGCCAGTTCCTCCAGCAGCAATCCCATTGGGTTCATAACATTCCACATCTCAAACAGATCTTTTCCTATCATTTGAGGAATAAAGAAGTCCTGAATATAAAAATGGAAAATTTTCAGATGTCAATTCACTTTGATTCCTGGTATGCATTTTTAATTGATAATGATTGTTACAAAGAGCCATGATTATAAATGTATCTTGTTAATTCTAATTGTTCAAAGACAGAAAAACTTGATAGCCAACAGGCTGGGAGTAATACAGAGCACAGATTAATATTTTAAAATAAATGTTAAGAAATAAAAACATACAATCCTTTAAAGTCAAACAGAACTGTTAAGGATTATGTGGCTATGGGTTGTATCCAATGTTGGTCATATTCTGAGTAGATTCACTAACATTAATGAATGCATGACTAGCTTGCTCTGAGTAGAACCTAGTTGGATACATCTCTGTATTTCTTGCAAAGGCTAACTGTTGATACACCATGCTGTTTATGATGAACTAAGTATGCCTCTCTCAAGACACTTCACAATCAAGGACATTTTTATTTGCATATTAATAGGGAAAAGTTTCTTGTAGATTAATGCAGCTGAGATGAACACATTGCATCCCTCTTTGGGGGACAGAGAAAGCTAGTCATTATGATTTGGTGTCTGTTCCCACCAACAGGCCTGCATGCAGATAAAGACATCAAGCATACAAGACAGCCTGCTAGTTATATCACATGTTCTCTAAAATCACCCACTAAAAGGACAGAGGTAGTTAAGCTTGTGGTCCTTCTGACCCCTGAAGGCAGTGCAAAGACCCAACCACATATTCGTGAAGTGCCTTGCCTGAACTCAGGCCAGAGCCCTATTTATTGCAGTAGTCAAACATGTGCATGCTGTAAGCAGACTAATAAACAATGCCATAACACTATTAAAGTTCTACTAATATAGCTGGATATGCATGCTTTGTAATTAGCAGTGGGAGCTCTCCAGTTTTCAAATGTCTGTATTAAATGTACATATGCAGGCCTTTGTCTCTTCCAAACCTCAATGCTTCATTTAACATTTTAAAAATAATACATTTTAAAATCCCTGTTAGTATTTTGTATACGTAATCCAATTCTCAAAAGTAAGTTGGAGTGATATCAATGCATGAAAGCACCATGCCAAAAGAAGACTGGGTCATAGAGGTCAAACACTGCACCTGAATTATTATTAATATTGTTATTAATTAATTAAATTAGTATATCCGTAGATCTCAGGGCAGTTCCCAACTACAACTTGGGTAATACAGTAATATATAATGTAATATAGGTTCTATTTTCTAGGTGCAACATAGGTTTTATTGGGCACAGTTTACAAACACTCCTGCCCTAAGCTGCTTGCAGCATTGTTTCTACTTCAATCACACACATGGAGTTAAAGCTAAGAGGATGGTTGTAGGAGATTACACACTATATGCTTGGGCAGCAGAATGCAATTTATCATTCCTTTAAGTGTTATGACAGAGAGCACTGTAGTCCTGGATGGGTGCCAAAGAACTATTAATTACGCTATACATAACAATGTTATAGTGCACAATAACTTACCCTCACAAAGATCTCTGTTCTCTGAGAGCCACTACTTTGAAGCAACGCTCCTATTATAGCAAAGAAAGTCTTCTGAAGCACATTAGGTGGCACAGGAAATTCTGCGCAAAGTGTGAAGTCTTGTAGAGACAGGTTTCTGGCCAAATAAGACACTAATTCCTCACTGGTAAGAAAGTTAACAAGTGCCTCAATGCCAGCTTGTGGAATTTTTGGATAGGCTTCTTCCAAGCATCGCGTGAGGTAAGATTGTGAAAAGGAGATACCCTTCAGAGAAAGTTCATTATTATCCTTGAGATTAAGGGCAATTGCTTCTTTGTCTAGTCCCAGTTCTTGGCGTCTCGACTCTTCTTGTTTAATATAACAACGGTTAACAAATGCAGTTTTGAGGAATTCCAATGAAAACTTCTCATGTAATCGGTGGCTAAAAGCCTGTATTTCTGCATGGTAATCCCAGTTAGGTTTCTCAGAGCTAAATAAAGACAAAAAGCAAGAAAACAATAATGATAGGCATTTGAATGGGATGGAGAACCTGTGGCCCTGCTATGTTGTCGGATTACAACCCTCATTATCCATGACTATTGGTCATGCCAGCTGGGGCTGATGGAGTCCAACCACAGAATGTCCATCCCAACTCTAGCCGATCATTCTGAACTAGATTTTACAAAACAAATATTACATTCCCAATTGTTCCATGTTTTGTTTCTGACAGTTTAGGAAAACCTTGAGTGCAAGAATGCAAAGCTTAATAATGCATTATGCCCAATAAGACAAGTTATTTGCTGTTAGCTTTAACATTTGGGGAAGAGAGAATCTGATGAACTTTGAATGGTATTACCCATAGTCCCTTAATTTCAATGGCTCTACTCTTATTATGACTTAGTTGAATATCACCCACTATCTTTAATTATGTAAGCTTTAATTTACTGTACATTAATTTATGCAAGGGTAAACTAATGTTGAACAAAGTGGCGAAAAGGCAGGCATAAAATTCATGTAGAAATCAAATGCTTTGGTCTGGTTTGCACATCCTGCTAAGCCAAAGTGAAACTATTGTTAATCAAGCCATTGTTTATTAAACAAGGACAAGTCACCCCACATACAATCAAACAGATCTTGGCTTGTTTCATGCGGTTGGCTTGTTTAACTCCTGCCTACTTTGCACTCCCTGTCAAACATCCTGAAAGCCTTTGCAGTGTCATACTGCTGGAGTTGCCTCACTGTGACACCATGCCTCTTCCCACAGATCAAGAATGAAAAAACACTCTCAAGCAATACAGTATAGTGTTTCTTAACCTTTTCCTTATATCACTCTGCTCTACTTTGCATCCTTACTTTGAATCCTCAGCATGAGTCCTCAGCAGGTATTTAACTACTGGCTAAATGTAAGTGAATGATGAATTGCTTTATTGGAAATAATTGACTTTTAGTCAATTGGAGAAATCCATGTATTTTTCACTATGGTCAATAGTTACTTACAAACTAAAATTTGGAACACGTGTGGCAAGTAAGTCCAGCTTAGCCAGTTGGTTAGTATGCCATTTGAAGGGCTGACTACAAATTTTCAATTAAGTCACTTTTTATAGATTATACTCAATTCCAGTTTTACCTATCCCCTCATTATAGCATTTTGAACCGTGATGATTTATGGCTTTTTTATTCTATACAGTCATACCTTGGGTTACAGATGCTTCAGGTTCCGTTTTTTTGGGTTTTGGACCGCCAAAACCCGGAAGTACCAGAACGGGTTACTTCCAGGTTTCGGTGGTCGCGCATGCGCAGAAGCACTAAATCGCGCTTTGTGCATAAGCGCCGAATTGCAACCCACGCGTGCACAGACGCGGGTTGCGAACGCTGCAGGTTGCGAACGTGCATCCCACACGGATCACATTCGCAACCCGAGCGTCCACCGTATTGTGATGAGCTATGGTTCTGATTGACTGAAAAACCTGTCATCTCAACTCAAGTTGATATTCCATGCATCTGACTATAAGTGTTCTCTGGTCCCCCCAAACTTATGTCATGGGGCGGGAGCCACCTTGAAGCCTTTGTGGATGCAAATATATACAGAGCCATATATACAGTACACACTATTACATTAGCGTAGCCAGCGGGGGGGGGGGGCTGCCCCCTTCAAGTAAATAAATAAAGACTTAACTGACCAATTGTGTCACAGATAACTCAGTTTTGCCCCCCCCCCACATAAAGCCTGCCCCTCCCTAAAATAAATCCCAGTTACACCCATGCACTCTTAAACATATGGGGAGCCTCTCATTTCAGACACTGACAGCCCTCCTTCCCTACCATTTTTTTACCAACCAGTATCAGTCTGGCCCTGGCCCTGGTGTCTGCTGAAGACATTCTTATTTAGACAAGCCTATCCACAGGTTTAGAAAAAATGCATGAGTATTAATTTACCTTATCATGCTTTTTAACTTCCTGCATGTTTCAAATTACGGCTGTGGAGGTTTTAGAGATATAACCTTATTATTTTTTCGTAAGCAGCCTTGAGGCTTCTCTCTCTCTCTCTCCCCCCCCCCCACAATCAAGTGGTAAATTGTTTTTTTTAATGAAATTAATTAATTAAAATAACTAAAAATAAATACTCCACGACTGACCGCGCAACCCGTCTCTCTCGCCAGCCCACCTCCTCAAATGAAGTCACTTTGCAAGCCCGGCAAAAAGATAAGACGGGGCTGTTTGAAACAGCCTGTTTTGGGGCGGGGGGGGGGACAAACCCTGCCATTCCCACGTTCCTTTCTTCCTTTCCAGAGTTTCTGACACGCATCCCGCCAAAGAAACCCTTTCGGCTCCTGATTTCTCCTCAACCCCAGAAGCAAGCGAAGGCAGCAGCCCTACTCGGCGAGGGACGCTCGTTAGCCGACGGTCAAAGCTCTGCCTTAGGGAAGGAGACGGGCGGGAAAGGCGAGCAGCCCTCGTCCCCGCTATTTCTAAGCCTCCGTCCTCCCAACAGGCATCCTCCTCCCCCCCCCCCTTCTCTCACCGGGGCCTCGGGGTCTCAAGCAGCCGCTGCTGCTCCACATACGCGCGGACCCAGCGCTGCTTATCTCGGCGCGGCTGAGGGCGGAGCGCGACACGTCCCGGCGCGGCAGAGAGTAAGCGGTGGGAGCCCTCAAGGAACAGAGGCCGAAGCAGCGCGGACGCCATTTTCCATCGAAGGGAAGAAGGCAGGGAGGGAAAGGAGCGGGGGACCAGTCGCACCGGTCGCCCCGCCGTCCGGAAACAAGCGCTGCTTCGTTTTCTGTTCCGGCCAAGTTCGGGACTGGGTTTTTTCCCCTAGCTGTAGAAAGGTGAATGAGAAAAGTGTAGGGCAGGTTTGCCCCTACGAACAGGTGAAGGCGAATGACGTGTGGCCACGGTGGTCCTCATCTGGACAGGGATAGCCAGTGTTCCCGATGGTCTGGTAACCTCTAGGTTGCATCCAGGGCCAGATTTAGGTTTGATAAGGCCCTAAACTACTGAAGGTAATGGGGCCCTTTATATGTCCAGCTTGTCCTTTGTCAACAACAAATTGTTGCTGTTTTTTGTGTTGAATATACAGTATGCTATGTGGTAATTTATGGACCTAATAGGTATCTAAAGCCATTTGCACATGTTGCCATGCAACCAGTCCATGCAGAATGTAGGCACCCTATATATAGAAATGAGCAAACCAGTGACATTTTAGGGAGCAGGCTAGCAGGCGGGGCCCATTACTTACATCATAGGAGCCTACACGACACAAAACACTGTTGCTGTATGTAGGTTTTATTTTATTTGTTTTTTATCTTATATTTTGGAAATGTACATCGAGTGGTTTTTTTTCCCTTTAAGTTTTTTGGGGGCCCCCAAGAAAGTGGGTTCCTAAGCTATAGCTTATTTAGCTTATACGTAAATCTGGCACTGGTTGGATCACTGAAGGTGGTTTGGAAACTTCAGCTGGTGCAGAATTCAAGCGGCCAAGTTGCTCAGCGGGGCAGGATGGTCTGAGCATATTTCACCGATCCTGGCTTGATAGCTCTGGCTGTTAGTTCCCAGGCCCAATTCAAAGTGCTGGTTTTTACCAATAAAACCTTATACGGCTCAGGGCTGTAATATTTCAAGGATTGCCTCTCTCTCCATATGATCCGACCTGGATCCTAAGACCATCTTCTGAGGCGCTTCTTCATGTGCCTCCTCGGGAGGTCCGGAGGTTGATTAACGTTCTATGGCCTTTTAAACATGTTTGTGTCTTATCAATTTGCTTTTGTTCCACTATGTATTTGTGTTCTCGTTTTGCGTTCTTACGTTGTGAATTGCCATGTGATCTTCAGATGAAGGGCAATACAGAGAAAGAGGCCAGAAATCTGGGCTTAAACTGGGCAGTTCCAGATTTATAATCCTTGCTCAGCCATAAATTTATTTGGTGGTCTTCAGACTGTCCTTATCTGTCAGCCCAGCCTACCTCACTGGGCTGCAAAAACATGATGAATGTAGGCCTTTCTGAGTTGTTTTAAGTAAAATTGTTTGATATAGAAGGAAGTGGAAAAGTTTTGAATAGTTTTTGGGAATGTGGTTATTGGTTTGCTTTTGTTTGTTTTATTATGTATTTTATGTTCTCATTTTGTGTATTTAGGTTGTGAACCACGCTGTGATCTTCAGATGAGGTCTTATCTTCAAGAACCATTCCAGAGGATAGCATTGCATATCTTGTCTGTAATGCTATTTAACATCTGTAGGAAGTGATTAGATCTGGAGCACAGTGTACATTGATGATATCTCAACTATTTCTTTGTTAACATATGAATTGGGAATGGCTGTGTAGGCCCTGGATCGGTGCCTGGGTGCTATTGCTCTCCAACATGAGTTTTAATCAACTTTCCTGGCCTTGTCATCACTATTACCTTGAGATTCTATTACCTACATCACTATTAACTGCCTGAGATTCGAGGCAAAGGCCTATCTTAAAAGGTGCTTTGTTTTAATCCCCAAACTCGTGCTTTAGTTACTTTATACAGGCTTCTAACAAATGAGTCAGCAACTTCTGAGAGTTCCCGAGTTCTTTATGAAAAGGTTTGTTTTGATCAAAATACATTACGTTTGGGAATAAAATGTGCATCCAATTTGGCCAGGACTAATAGTCATGTTCTTGGTTCTCCTCAGCCAAAGCAAGTAATTTACAAATATTGCAGAGTTCTGCTACAGTGCTCCCACAACTATCCTGAACAAAGCTTATTAACTCTTTTTCTTTTAGCCATAAGCAATGGCTTGGTTCAAACATGGTAAGCTAAACGATGGTTTACTGGGACATGAATGTGCAGACTTGTGGAGAGGAGCCTGCAGCTGCATTTATCCTCCTCAATCTTTCTTCCTCCTACCCCATACTGAGCTCAGTCAAATGTGTTGTCCAGGCCCAGGATTGTTAAGCTTTTTTGTCACTAACCATTAGCTGTAGCCAAGAATAAAGCATGACATGCAAAGCAGGCCAAGGGCTGCAGATGCTAACTGATCTGTCTTGCACATCAGAGTAGCTGTATCATTACCGAGTTTAGTCACTAGCTAGCAATGGACTTTGACCAAACTGCGGGAGGCAGTGGAAGACAGGAGTGCCTGGCGTGCTCTGGTCCATGGGGTCACGAAGAGTTGGACACGACTAAACGACAACAAGCAATGGACTTAACTCTTACGAGTGGAGTCAGGCAATTCCTGTCCTGTTATTACTGGAGAAATGTTGTAAGGTCTTGTCTAACTTCCATAAAAAAGAATGAAACAAAAAATGTGTGCTTCTTTTGCTGCTTCTCTCATACTAGTGGTGAAATAGCTGAAAGTTCACATTATGGGCAGTATCTCACTTCACACACTATTTAAAAATGGGGTAGGGTGAACAAAGAAACAGCATGACTAAGTTGCAAAATTTTACTCCCACCTTTCTCTTCATTCTTAACTTTAAGAAAGCCTATTACTAGAACCTATAAGCCTATGTAGAAAATCTACTATTTGGTTCCTTTGCCAAGCTATTTGCTCTGCAAACACCTTCATCCACTATACTTACTCACTGCTGGTAACACACCAATTTGGATTTTGTATAGGGATAACTCCAAACACAGTTCTGCCTGATGTCTTTTGGTGCCTTCCACTTTCAATTTGGAAACTAAGGGTGAAATCCAGTGATGCACAGGATTTCCATTTATGCAACAAGACTTCATTTCCTTCCTCCTGCAGCCTGTCACACACACATTTGCCTACTCCCCAACTCTTCAGATCTGATTTTGAAGGGCATGGGGGATATGGGAAGACAAGAAGCAGTCCCATTGTGCAAAGTGGCTATCCAGCTGTCCATTTGTGCCTATCACACTGATATTTAAGCAAATTAGCATACACCATTCTTAAAGATTTCAGCACTCAGCTCACCTAGCTTTTACTCATAAAAGTATTTAAGAGCAGGGCTTAATTCCACCTCACCCCAAACAAATACTTTTCATGTCCATTTGTTTTTATTTGCCCAAAGAAGACAGATATTTTAAAATCCAACATAAAGTGTGTATTAATGTACACATTAATAAGAGTTGTGCAAATGGTTGGATTGAATAGAAATCTACGAGCAAGCAAAAAAATACAATCAATAATGGGAGTGGAGATTTTAGATGCAGTATATTGATCTAGACTGAGAGATATAAAAGCTTTTTTGTATGCTCCACACATCCAAAGGGCAAAAGGTACAGTTAATTGGAAAAATAAGAAATTAAATACTGCTTTGGGCTGACTTTTATTAAATACATTACATTGGTACTTTGTTCCATAATCTTAAGATCACTCATGGACAGATTTGCTTAAAAACCATCTTTTTTTTAGAAAAAACATTGCAAAATTAAAGCTCAAATACATCTTACACACACCTCTGGATAATCTGCTGACTTATTTTAGCAAAGAATGTATTTTAGTCAATATGTACATGTGCTTGAATGAGAGATACTCAGGATGCTTTTTAATCTGCTGCTCTACTACCTGAAATTTGGCTAAAATAAAACAAGTGCAATAAGGTGAACTATAAAGGTGCGACATTTAATTATGGAATAACAATGAGAAACCATGTTAGGCCATTTTGCAGGTAATTCCAAAACCCAGTTGTTTCTTTCTACACAAGAGAGAACTGTCTGCAGTATACCTTTGTTATCTGGAGGCAATTCCCTTTGCAAAATAATTCAATGCAAATGTACATGTCATGCAAAAGGAAGATAATAGGATACAACAATTCTGAAAATATATACACAATCATCCAGGCATCCCTTTAACATTGTAAAGTTATGTTACAGCTGTTTACTGTGTCAGAAATATCCAGTGCATGGATCCTAAATCACCATACAATTCAGAGAATGAAACAAAGGACTTTGCAAATTCTCTATATGTTTCTCCACTGACAAATCTTCTGAAGTACTGTGACCATTTCTAGCGCCGAAACCAAAGCCAACTATTTAGTAGCCAGAAAGCTACAGTAATTGAGTACATGATCATTTCTCGTTTAGCACGCTCTTTGTTTTCTTCTTCCAGAAGTTGTAGACGACGATTAAGTTTAATTATCTAAAAAAGAAAAAGAAAGGAAATGCTTTTCAATTTTAGTGCTTACTATAAATTTACTAATTATTTCAAGCCTTTTCTCATTCATGTACTTCAGATTTGTATCACTTCTCACCCCAAAAGTCTGCTCACATGGGGGACTTAGTAATGGAAGTCTGCAGTTCTTGTTAATACAGTAGAATATTTCTGTACATTGATGCCACACACATGGATTCCAGCCTCAAAACCCTGGCTCTTTATACCTATATCAATGCTGGGTTTAGAAATCCCTACTTCTGGCAAATTCACAATGGAAAATTTCAGTTTCCATTTCTGATTTTTGTCCTTCCAGTCTACATCTCATCCTTTTTAAATGCAAAAAATGTGTGGGCTGGATCTCTCATTTTAGAGGTGGAGAGTCTGTGTGCCAACTTTGATAGGTATCCGGCTAGGACAGAAAAAGACAATAGCATCTAAGCAGCATGCGCTAGCACCTTACTCATTCACACTAAACCGTGGTTTATGACTTACTATGATATGCAAATAGGCCCATGTATCAATATAGTATAAATAAATCACAATACAACCAAAACAAGTATGGAAAGCAAGCAAATCAATTCAGCTGCTTAAAACCAGTAAAAGAGAATAGAAACCTAACAGAAAAATAAGATACAGAACATACAAAACAGAACAGATTCCATTCTGCTGCATGGTTTGTTTGTTTGTTTGTTTGTTTACCATTAAACTAAACCTTAAACACATTGACTGGCAGCCACACCTCACCCCTGGATATTTTCCATCCAAGTGGGTTCTTCTTTCTCAATTCCTCTCCCTTCAATCATGTATGCACTATTTAGTTCCTATATAATATTAGAATGTTTCTGAGTTGAGAATTCACAAAGCTTTATTCATAGACATATTAACATTCAAAGAAAAGAAATTGTATCATCATGCCACAGAAAAAGTTGTGGTATTCAGACTTCCAAATTTAACACCCCCCCCTCGGAACTTACATTCTTAATCTTACTACATTCTGCATTGACTAAACTGGAAAGAGGCATACAAACTTCCACTATAATAGTTGAAGCATTTTAATTACCTGTCGTCTTAAAGAAACAGCATCCACAACAGTGACATCTTCTGGTGTTCCCTCAAAGGTTGTATCCATATTTGAAAGGGTATATCTATGAGATAAAAAACAAACAAAAATATGCCTCAAATGGCACACATTTAACTGCACACGGGCTGGTCTTTTGTGCACACATGGGGTCATTTCAATTTCTCCATTCTCCCTGTGCCCTCTGAAAAGCAACTGCTGAAATTCAGAGGCCTTTCCATAGTTGTATGCAATGCAGGTTGAGGGGCTACAAATGGGAAAGGAAATAAGTAGATCCTCTCAGGTGCATATAGGAGTGACCATAGTATACATCTGGGCGTATTTGGATTCCATTCAAAATATACAATTAACTGTTCTTTAGATGAAAGGGGGGGCAACCCATTTTAAAGTGCTTTCTTGAACAGGTTTGACTATGTTCTTATTTTCCTACATACACAGATTTGCTGCTTTAAAAAAACACATAACCTTGGCTGAATTCTCTCTCTAGCAATTTCCATCTAAATGTAGAACTGTATTTGGAAGGGACCACAAGGATCATCTATTCCAACCCCCTGCAAAGCAAGAATCTTTTGATCAATGTGGGGCTCAGACCCATGCCCCTGAGATGAAGAATCTCATGCTGTACTGACGGAGCTATGATCAAATATTCTCAGTTAGTTTTTATGTATAAAGTGCCTTTCATAATGTCTAGTACATCACCGGACCTGGGCTTCCTGATAAATTTCAGGAGTTTCAATCAAGTTTCCCAAATTTATTGAAGCTGAAGCCTGAAATGACAGAGGAATTATGTGTCCCATGTTCTCATGTCCAGTAAGTGGCAAGACAGCCTGTTCTATATGGGGTTGCACTCCCTTGGAAGGAGTCCACAGCTTTGGGGTCCGCTTGGATTCAACATTGCCACTGGGAGCTCAGGTGGCTAGGAGTGCCTTTTCCCACCTCTGGCTGGCCCACCAACTATGGCCCCTTCTGAACAGTACTCCATGCTCTGGTTATTTGCAGATTGCATTGCTGCAATGCAGTCTATGTGCAGCAGCCCTTGAAGATGACTCAAAAACCTAAATGTCTCCAAAACGCAGTGGTCAGATTACTGGCTGGGGTTCCATTTAGATCTCATACAACCTCTATTTTAGTACAGCTGCGTTGAATGCCAGTTTGTTTCTAGGACCAATTCAAGGTGCTTGTGTTAAAAGCCCTAAACACCCCAAAT